TGCCAAGACGATCGACTGTTACGTGTAACTTCGTTTGCAAAATGCTTCGTAGCACGTGCTTTTTTATGAAATAAAACTATTTTTCTCTTTACGATTTGGTAGAACAGTTCATGTTTTAAGAGATGTCCTTCACTTATACTTAATAATGTATGAAGCAAAGTTTCCTTTCCCTACTACTACACAAAAAACAGCTTATCACATTTACTTAATTTAGGTTTACTTTTTATAAAGAAACTTTTTAAAAATGCCTTATCCACCATTAACTTTTCTTATTGTCTCGATACATGGAACTGAATGAAGATACTGTAATGGCAATCGCTAAGAAGACGGAATCTCGTGTTGTAATTTTCTAAAAAATATAAAACGACAACAATAGATGCCTGAGTTTATTGCAACAGGGTGTGGGTGTGGGTGCGGCTATTATGTCAGTTTACATTCACACCAGGGCGGTCCATTTCAAGTCTTGATATGTATTTGTTTGCGATGCTGCTCATCTCGATATATATCGACGTTATTAGATGTTCGGAGACGATGAAAAAGCTAGACTAACAACAAGCAAATAGACCAGATGATTTAGCGTTAATAAATATAAATACAGCATAGATGAAAACATACGAAACATAGAATTTATTTTAGCTTGATTTTTTTTTCTAATCAAGAGATCGATAGTTACATGCCAAGTCTAGACGTACGTTAGACGACAATATTTAAACCAACAGCCTAGAACCATTCTATAATAGGAGCTGTTATCAAGAAAGTATGAGTTATCTCTGATGTTCTTTGCATTGATATTATTTTCGAAATTATTTTTTCCAAAATTAGTTAATATTCAATCATTAAGCAAATTTGGAAGTTGATATTGAAACAAAATATACTATATAATTCAAATGAATATGTTTTGCAACGAGAATTACTTTATTTGAATATCATTTCTGCTCAAGATTATTGTAGAATATAGGACAAATTCCTATAAGCTATTCAAAAGGGTGTGTGTGTGTGGGAGGCGGAGGGCTATTGAATGAGAAATAATCACACCCACACCCACACCCTATTTCAGTACAGGTAAAACTGAATCAAAAGAAAAAAGAATGACCGTCTTTTTCTTTTATAATCACACATTATCAAATTGTTAAACATTCAAATTAATAATTTCGCTGAAGGAACCAGAGGGTCCATTTCATTCGTTTCTAACATTGTCTCATCATCTAATTCAAATGTTTTCTGCTTCTTATTTTTATGTAATTCATTTGAGTTTGCTAATGTTCGAAGATATTCTGCTTCAGCTACTCCTGTCTGTTCAACAAGTGAACTAAAATAGGAGTATTGATTGGACAATAACACTTCAGGCGCGTCGAACTCAACCATCTTTCCATCACTCAATACCTATATCAACAAATTAGATATATTCATTTCTAAAATATAATATAAATCTTTTTTACCATGATCCGATCACTATCAATCACAGAACGTAAACGATGTGCTACGGTTAATACTGTACATTCTTTAAATTTATCACGAATGGCTTTTTGAATTAATTCATCGGTTCTAAACAATATTTTTCTGTTATTGACTTTTCAAATACTTCACTCTCTTTATACTAACGCATTATCCACATTAGCAGTTGCTTCATCAATCACAAGAATTTTACTCTTTTTCAATATAGCCCTTGCTAAGCATACCAGCTGTTTTTGACCAACACTCAAATTAGATCCACTTTCACTTACTAATGAATGAAGACCATTGGACATTATATCCGCTACTAATGTCTTTAATTGTACCTATATCAATACCAAGAAAATTTATTTAGCTTTTGTAATAAAAAAAATGATCTACCTGCTCAAGTGCATTCCATATTTCAGGATCTGAATAAATACCAAATGGATCTAGATTGCTTCTCATTGTACCAGTGAACAGAACAGGATCTTGTGGAATAATTGAAATACGACGTCGAACATCATCTAATCCAAGCGTTGCTATATCAATATTATCAATTAAAATACGACCGTCAACAATTGTACCCATACGAAAAAGAGTTTGAATAAATGAACTTTTGCCAGCGCCTGTCCGTCCAACAATACCAATTTTTTCACTAGGCTCGATAATTAATGAAACATGATAAAGCGTCAATAGTGAATTGGGCTTGTTCGAATGAGACATAGAAACGTCATCAAATACAATACAACCTCGTGATGGCCAATTCGCTGGTGGCTGATGTTTAGAAGATAGCTGAGCAGGTGGTTCTTGATCAAGTGAACAATATTCAAGTATGCGTTCGACTGATGTCATTTGATTTTCAACTTCTACCGATTGTCTAGAATGATCAGTTTATTTTTGCACAAAAACAAAAACTACGGATTGAATTTTTCTAGAATCTAACCTGATTGTCCACTGAAAGACACCTACGAGACTGAGACTATATGTGAGTGTTAGAGCAATTTCTACGGCTGAAAATTGATGTTGAGTTAAACGAGCAACGATAGAAAGTATAATAACCACGGTAATAAATATAAGAGATATCCAGTCGAAACGCATCGCTGACCATCTATTTAATATTATAATCAAAAAGCTAACTCTCGAATTATTACCAAGATGATAATCAAATTCTTTGGAACAAATATTTTCAGCATGATAGGATCGAATTACTTTGAGTCCATGAATAGTAGATGTTAATTGTGAATAAACAGGACTACGTGTAGTACCTTGAAGTCGTTTTAAATCTCGGGCGCATGCAGCAAATCGGTATCTTATGAAGAACATGACAATTATAGCAATACCTGCTGGAATAAATGACCATGGATTGAGTAATCCAACGAGAATAATGGCGCCTAAAACTTGACTTAAACACTAAACAAATATATAATAAACATATAATTACACGACATGCAAACAAATAATATTTACCGAAAGGCATTCGAACACAGTCATGGGCAAAGAGTCATCAGCTGCGGCTACATCACTTGTAAAACGATTTAATATTCGGCCTATAAAAAAAAACGTTGCATGCAAATTAGTACAAACAAACATCTCAGTTTTTAGTTGAACATATTCTCATTTGAAATGTAATTACACATAGATTTTTATCTGCATAAAATAAAATAACTTACCAACTGGATTCATATCAAAAAATGATATAGGACATCGAATTATTCGCTTAAACATTCTGAAAATGAGAAAAAATTGAAAAAAAAACTACAAGATCAAGGTTCACCATACTGATTATGAAGAACTCGTGCTGCATTTAAACATATAAGTCGACAGACAACAGCACGAATAAATATCAAAAAGCAAAGTATTGATACGAGAGCTAAAATAAAGTTAAAGAATATTCAATGAACGAATTAAATTTTCATGCACAAACTGACCACCGAATACATAAAATCTTTGATTTCGATGTGTATTCCATTCAGTATCATTGAGCCCACGTATTTTATCCGTTTTGTTATCCTGTGTGCTTATACAACGAGTTAAATTTTGATGACGACGATTCTCCTCATTACTCCATGCTACTAGCCACCAATTACTATAAATTGCTACTGTTTGTTGTGTTGAAAATATAATCAAAATTAAAAGAACACCCAAAATAGCACCAACACCAGCTCGTAGATACGATAGATAAGCATTCCATTTTACTATTCCTTCTTGTTTTGTTTCAACATTTCTCGACGATGAATTCATATCTTCGTCTTCGACATTCTCTTTTTCGGAATGTATCGAGCCAATCATGGATAGTTGGTTTACTAGAGAAACTACCGGTTCTTCTTGTTTATGTTGATTGATATCTTCAAGAAGTTGAGAAAATAACGGCGAAGATACAAGCAATTCTTCATAGGTTCCCATTTGTACCATTTCACCCTGTATTCAATTGAATAAAAAATAAATTCTAGAAGTCTTTCACAAGAAGGAAGATTCATATTTTTCTCCAAATCATTCGATACTCGTGTTAGATATTAAACAAAACATACATTATCAAGAACAATAATTTTAGTTGCATCGTGTAAAAATTGTATTTGATGAGTTACCAAAATACAAATTTTATCACGTAAATAATTTTTGATTGATCTAAAAATGAATGCATTCAGAATCGTTTTTTTATAAATAAAAAGTTGCATTTTACTTCTCAAAAAGATGCTTAGAAACTTTAGCGTCAACAGCAGATAGTGGATCATCCAATAGATAAATATCAGCATTACGATAGAGTGCTCTTGCCATATTGACACGTGCTTTTTGGCCCTAAAAATAAGAAAATACTCGAATGTTTCGAGAATAAATTAGTGAATCTTACTCCAGATAACATAACACCTTGATCACCAACAAGAGTATTAGGACCATGGGTCAATTGCACCAAATCCTATTCATCAAAATACGATCATCTATCATTCCGTAGAAAATCTCGGCTTACTGCATCAAGGGCAGTTGCATGAACAACACGTTGAAATAATTTAGAATTATATTCTTTACCAAAAATAATATTATTTTTTACTGTCGACGAAAATATCCCTATAAGAATAAATGATTTCTAAGCAAGTTTTCGCTAAAAATAATAATCTACTGACATGATTCTTGTGGTACATAACAAAATGATCCGTGCAATCGAACTTTTCCATCAAAATGAGTTATTTCACCTGTTAATGTTTGTAAAAGCGAACTCTGAATTAATGAAAAAGTGAAATCAGATTCGAATTAGAGAATAACAAAACAAAAATTACTTTTCCAGATCCAACCGATCCAATAATACAGATTAAATCACCTGGATAAGCATCGAATCTAATATTTTTCAATGAAAATTTTCCACTCTGAAATAGAATAGTTTTCATTTAAGCGAACATAAACACAAGAATATTTACTTTTTCCCATTGAGCTTCTTGCAAATCACAAATAACTTGAGATGGTCGTTTACTTGAACTGTCATCTATCTTATTTATTTCTAGAACGTCTTGAAAAGACGTTGATAACAATCGATTATCTCTTTCGGATTCATCAAATAGAAGAAATGCCTATAAAGACAATTTCATGTCAATGAGAACCAAACAGAAAACGATTCAAACAAACTCGAATTCGTTTTTGAGCCGCCATATAATTGAGAACATCACGAATAGCAAAATTAAAATAAGTAATACATGATTGGCGTGTATAATTCACCAATACATATAACAGAGTAAACGAACGTGTATCGAATTTTAGATTCAACGACCACATTGTTCCATATATCATTAAGAATACTACGCTGAGATAACTTTGCGATAAGATCGCTTCAATACAGTGACACATCATGAATACAGTAGTCTTTACCATTTCACGTCTAGATATATTTATAGTGATTTCATGCTGAAGTCACAAAATTTTCTATGCTTACGTTCTTATACGACAAGCTTTTCTTTCAAATGCGGATTCCCAACAATACATTTTGATAATTCGCATTGATCGAATAACCTCAGACATAATTTTAACACGTTCATCGGTTACTTTCAAGACTTCAGCTCTATATAATAAATCGATCATTCAAGTAATCATCATCAAGAGAGAGAGAGAGAGAGAACGACAAACCGTAAATAAAGAAATAAGCGACTAAATAATGGTTGGATGAATAAGAGAAATAGGGTATATCCGATAATAATAAAAGTAATATATTTAACGTACGACCACAATATAAAAATGATCGCAAGAGTTTGTAGCGGAGCAATCTAAAGACAAATCATATTAGTGTATATTTTTACTCTTAAAAACCGATATGAACATTCGTTTAACATTTTTCTAACAACATACCCATAAATAATTCAAATAGTAATGAAGCAGTTCTACTTTATTGGCGTCATTTGCTAGCAAATTCGTAATTTCGCCAGAACTAAATTTATTCATTGCATCAGTTGATAGGCGCAATACCTTTTTAAAATAGAATTATCAATATTTTATTAGAAATTATTCTTCATTTAACTTTTCGAAAAATTAAACCACTGTAAGCCACTCTCATTTGCATAGCACAAGTGACAACACGATAAACGTACTAGAAAGAACTCTACATTTTTGCATACATACGATTTTAGAAAATCAGATACTACTTGGTGAAAGATCAAATGTACACATAGTAGTGCCATGCAAATAAGGAAAGCTGTTGACCATGCTTGCCTAGAAGACATTGTTGAGCATGGTTCGAAAAATCTTGTGAAAGAAACCAGTAATAACGGTTGGACAATATTTAATGATTCCTAATTAAAAACGAACCAACAGTTAATCGATCAAACTAGATATTCAAAAAGTTGTTTATCGTTGCTTACAAGAGGTATTAGTAAAAGACTAAGAAGTATATATTTCCATCCCGCAGTACGTAATGTAGCCCGAACCAAACTCGGACTTTGTGGGCATCGTTTTATTTCGTCGAGCCAATTTGCTTCCAACTTATCAATCGATATTGTTGATTCAAGATGATCAGGAAGATCATAAAGATCATCAAGATGAAGTGTTCCTTGTTGGTGACTTTTATCAATTAAAGAAGATAACCAACTGTAAAACAATAGACACCATTTGATCAAAATTAGAATGATGAAATACGACTTACGAATGAAAAAATCGTGAGAATAAACTACCTTGCAATAAAGGATTTGGGTTACTTGAAGCAGATACCATCTATATCAAGGTTATTGCCGTTTCTTTTTTTGATAATTGCCTCGTACTCTTTTATTTCTATTACGAATAGTCGTATCCTGTTCTCTTACACCAACAATACGAGGTAATTTTGTAGTGTGAAAAATGAGAACAATAAGTCAATAAAATATTTTTTTTCTTTAGAACCTCATTCTTTTTTTTTATCTACAGTACTTATAAGTCAAAAAACAAAAAGGAGCATCGTTGCATCAGACTTTCAAGCGTCGTGTAGTATTAGTTACGAAGCTGAATCCGCACCCAACGGAATACTGTTGAGATGATTGTTGGTTGTATCAGATACAAGTGTCAATATTTATTTTTATGAAATTCTTACTTATTCTCACTGATCAAGTATATCAATTGATTGCAGATATATGAGGTTTATATTTTTGATCGAAAATACCGCACTAAAGCCGAAAACTAATTTAAAAATACTGAGTTATTCTTCGAGATATCCCAACAAAATAAGTTTGATCACTTAGTTGAACCGTGCCGATAACTGAATGAATGTGTATGTATAGAGTTTAATGATTTCTACTGTTTCACAATAGGTTCAAGTAACATAATAACTATTCAATCAATTGATATATTGTATTTTTTTTGATCTTATTAGAGATTATTGATGCATAACATAAAATTAACAACAATAATGCTAAGAATCATATTCGTTCTAATAATCTCCAATCAGAAAAAAAGGAATACGCATATTAATATTAATAATCTATGTAGAGGATAATAAGGAAAACAGGAGAGATAAAGAGAGCGCCATCAGGGGCAGATGGTGTTTATGATCTTGTCTACATAGCATGCATCAAAATAGCATTCAATATTATATTATATAATCAAAAAGTAGAGCCCACCGGTCTCAAGAATTTTTGTATTAGGAACCAGGCCCGGCCGATTAGGCATTTTGCAATCGGATGAATAAGCTAAAGATTTTTTGAATAAAACGAACGAAAATTCAAAGACAAATCGTAATATATTATTATATGGATGAAATTTTTCTGTCATTTTATACCCGATAAATAAAATTTTCAGACCCGAATCAACCCGGTTGGGATAAGCCTCGATGGATTCGAAGAGACGGTCTACCGGAAAAAGATCATTCTTTTTTTAATTTTTATTAAGAGAAGCACAAATAAGCACTTATGAACAGCGTATTACAAAGGCGAGAATTGATCGTTTTTTGTGTTTTAAAGTCATCTAATACATATACTACGAGCTTTTGAGTCAGGCCAAGGCCGGATTCCCCGCGATGATGAACGGCGACACCGATAGCTGAGCCAAATTAAAAGGTATACCAATTCGATGTTTTATTTTTTCAAAAATCATCACTGCGTTCCATACAAAAAAACGTAGTCCAACAGTAAGACCTCCATTGACACCATGTAAAGATGTTAATAAATACAATAGATCATTACGTCTAGTGTATTCATAGCGGCAATATTGAGGTTCACATGCTGCATAATAGCTCTCATAAGAACTTTGATTTATCCATATCTCAATGAAAAGTTCACCAACAATGACACTAATGCTCGTAGTTGGTGAAAATCGTGAGTAGATTGAATCATTTAATTTTTTCTATGAATATCAAAGGAAAATCGAGATTTATATAATCTGTTTTGTTTAGTTGTCGAATAATTAAATAGTCTTAAGATCATTTTTACCTGATGATAGATTGATTCAATCGATAGAATTACGTCATATAATACGGCAATATTTTGACATGGACATGAAACGGAATCGTGAAAATTGTTTTCCAGTTGATCGTATGACGCTAATGATGGATTTAAAACCGTTATTTTCGTTTCTTTTTCTGGTAGCATAGTAAAGAGCACAAGAGCGATGCAACTTGTGCGCAAAATGGAGATGTAAACTCTCGTGTTGAGTATTTGATTACGAATAGCTCTCGTATCGTGTTCTCGCATTGCCTCAGCATTTTCAAACAGATTTTGGTCAAATAGCCAACGAAATATGCTTCTGATACGTCCCACGAAGCTAAAAATTGAAATAAGTTACTCTCTGAAACAATAGACTTTGTACGATTTACTTAGTACACATGGCTTCTGGTTGATGGTCAAACGACCTATTGCTTAAAATTTTCTAAATAACTTCTAGGATTAAACAAAATATCTAAAACATGCATGTTTTATTAGTAACTATCTACGCTAAAACCCTTTCTTTTAATATATCATGTGCCATCCTTCGTAGATTAATACTGACCAAAAACTAAAAGTTTATCGGTTCTCTAAATTTACGTTTTCTTCCTAAATAAATCAGTTAACTTCTTACTGATGTTCAACATTGCCAATTTTTGAACTCGATCTGTCTAGTGTTAATGGGCTACGGTTTCTAGCGCTGCGTTCAGTTTTACGTATCACCAGTGTGGAGGTTGAACCTTAATATCAAGCCATCAAGTTTCTCTAGTCCCCGCTGAGCGGATACCACTAATTGACGACTCGATCGTAGTATTTGGTCGCTGAAACAAAGATACATCGCGAACAATGATCTCATTTCACTGTAAGAATCATTCAATCTAAAACTGGAGATTTGTTTTTGATTGTTGACCCTAATGGAAAGAACTGCCCAGCTCAGCCCCTTTGGAGATAAAATGTGGAACTCACGTATATCCTTGAAGCCTCGATAAACCAATAAGAATGTGTAGAATGAAAAATTTCTCAGACTACTGATTCTTCAAAATAATTGATTATCACAGCAAAATCTCTCTCATTTATTTTTAAATTTTCGAGAGATTATTGTATTTTGGTTGGCGCCCTTTTTTTCTTTAATGTCTGTAATGGTGGGTATGTCTGTAAGAGGAGGGGAGGATGGGGAGCCGCAAAATTCTGCCCCTTAAACTTACACTCACTATTTTCTTCAAAAATATACGTGAGTTCAACAAAACGTAGTTTAAAACATTATTTAGCTTTTTAGTGATGCTTAGCACTGTTTAGAAAATAATAGTGGTTGAAAGTGTATACTGACAAATCTTAGATTGAGATAGACAGCTTATTGAACTGCTAAATAATCTTCAATGAGAGCTAACAATGGGAGACTTTCTGAATACCGACAAATATAACAGTGCATGTGCACGGCGCGTAAGGAGAAATAAGATTAAAAAGTCTGATAAAATCGATGAAAACCGATATCGTATGGTTGATTTCTGATTAGAAAAAAAGCCATCAGATCTTCAAAAACTACTGACTAGCCGAAGGACTATTTTGACGTAGACATTTTCACATTGATCTAATAATATCGACATCATCGTATATCTTATTCTCTAAGTTGACTATTGTTTTATCTATGTGAAAGTAATAGGAAGTGGAGATAGCTCGAGAAACTCTGCATAGTGATGTTTTATTCAAACTTCTCAGAACTAAGTCAATACCTCGACTGTCAATTTATCTTATTGTGTAGATGTGTAATTTACAACGTTAAACACTTCTATTTTCCTTTTAGTAAATTAAATAATATGCGTATACTTGTTATGGCTCATAATTAGATACAATCTCAGAGACACATTGACTAGAAGAAAACAATCGCCATTTTTCAACTGTCACAGTCGTAAAAAAGATTAATTGTAAAGAATAAAAAAATAGAAATAAAGATATATACTTTAACTCGGATGCTTTAAACGAGTCTAACTACAGATATGAAAGTTTTTTTGTTGGAACTGAGGCTGCCTAAAAATATGAAATATTTTCTGGTGTGAGTACAAAACATTAAACTAATTTTTGACACCTAGAAAATACTTCAGAATATTTAATTGAGCAAAACTCTTCTATTTTATGCAAGTTAGTTCATTTTTTAAAGTGAAACTTTTGGATTGATAGTGAAAAAGAATAAATATTAATGAATTCTTTTTTCGGCGTAGAAATGCATGAGCTCGCAAATGCAGTATACATTAGTTACGTACGTTTTTACTTCAAAGAGAACATGGAACTGTTGCATATGAATTATTGAAGTGATTTTTACGATAATCATGGCTCGTGACATCTTTAAATGAGCAGCATATAACTATAGTTGCCATATGTTGTATGATGGGAGAAGTATTAAACTTTGTTATGATATATATTTCAACAAGTTGAAACTCCGTATTCAAGAAAGAAATTAGTTTCGGCACTATGTGTTCAGATAATGCTGTATTATTTGACTAAGTATTCCACTTGATTCCACATGTGAAAATCAAAGCAATATTAGTTCAAGATCATAGTTCAAAATAGTCTTCCTAGGTGGAAAGATGGGGGAATTAGCTTTCGTCTCACCTCTTACGACCACCGGTAAATGTTACCGGGTGTTGGGAAGGTAATTCTAAGGGTATTTTAACGCAGAGTTCGTAAAAAGTTTATCAAGAGATTGTAATCGATATAAATACTTTCTGTTCTATAGACAACCATATAGTAGGTTCCCTTTTTGGATTATACGCATGATTATATAAGTATGAAATTATTCTTTCTCTACCTATACTCTTTATGCTAGAGTGATATAGAAGTTATTTCTAATTTTAATCTTGTAATCTATTCGCGATACCACGAGATGGCAGTGTTCCCAGTAGAAATGAAATATTATACGATGTAAAAAAGTCGCTGCATTTAATTGTGATTGGTTACACAAGTAATTGAGCAGTAAAGATAAATCAGGCTGAATCTTCGTAAAGAAGTGAAAAGTGTACATTTGGAAAATATTGTATCATAAATAGGAGGGATCGCTTTGCTTTTATTTTTTAATTCTAGAAAATTATTCAAATGACTAGAATCTTATTCATTGTTTGAATCTACATTTACTTTAACTTCGGATATTCTTAATGGTTGTCACTCGTAGCGAGACTTTGACTGTCACAGCAACAGCAACAACAGAAGTGCAATCGTAATTGCTTGAATTCGTCGAAACGTTGGCTACACATGATTTTAGGTTGCGCGACTAGCTTACCACTTCACATTTTGCTAAAGGTGAACAAACCGGAACATACTTGCGAAAATCGTGCCGTTTTTTTTTGTTACGGTCTCCCTGTCTTTGTCATTCCGGACATTCTGATTACGATCTCCAGCCAAATTTTGATGTTCGTAAAGAGAAAAATTTACATGGAGTTCGGAATCAAATCTGAAAATAGCTTTTTCAGTAGTTATATCCTATGAAAAAGCTATTGTCAAAATTGATTCCGAACACCATGTCTTTTCTTTCATATCAGGAGATCGTAAAAAAAGAGGTGAGGCGAAAGCTAATTTCCCCGGAAAAATGTCTTCAAGTTTTACTATTAATAGTTAGTATGAAGAAAGGCAATTCACTTTCAAGAATTAAAAGCAGAAGCGAAATCTGAATGCAAGAAAAAAACAACGTAATGTTCTCGACTTGCGGACCACGAAATCAACGTCAAATCCGAATCAATGCATACATTTTATTATTAATTGAAAAGGAAATTTTTTTTTGTTTGTTTTCAGTATATAATTCAACATAGAATTGAAGAAGAATGTGATGATTTTTAACTGATTCTAATATATATGTGGTTCTCCTCTCTTTCACCCACACCCTCATCACCCATTGTTTTTATGGTATATGTAATTGTTTTACTGTTTTATTGAAGCTAAACGTGAGCGTGACTGAATGTATTACAATGATTCGTGTACAATATCCTAAACTTCCGAACAATCGAAGTTATCGCTATTTTTAATGTTACATATGAAACTCTTAATTATGGAGTTCATTTCCATGGTTACATAATACATCTTAAAATGATCAACTATATTCTTTACAAGTGTGAGATTAACGAGAAATATATGAAGCTCATTGTTGTTTCTTGTCAGCAATGGACATAACGTCACAAAAATTCCATCGAAAATCGTATTATTTCCCGTAATATTATTATTTTGTAACATATTACATAGTTGTATGAGTAACTAAGTACTTGTAATCTGCTTCCACTTTCATAGTATTTTTATATTTTCTTGATTATAATCAGTCAATTTTGCTATTAGATCAGTTGTTATAATTTTTTTTTATCTCTGCGATATTGAAAACATTTTGAGAGACTTTACTGAAATTTAAATACAACTAAACAGTGAACTCACATTCACACGTACTCAAAGTTATGCTCATCCAGCCTTCAATCTCATACACTACAAGGCGGATCTCACATCTTCAACGAATGAAATTATTCCTTTGAAATAGTTGTATTCTAAATATTTCAACATGAAAAACTTGACAGCTTTATTTTTATGCGAAATATCGCTCGATAACAAGTTTTATAAGCATAAAATAATTATGCGCTTAGGAGCACGAATTTTTAGTTGGCAAAAACGTCAACCAATCAAAACACATCGCGACGTATGCATGCCAACCAGAGCAATTGAATTTATGTTAACTCTAAATATTTTCACAGTATCAAGTGTTGTAGAATTTGATCGAACGAAAAGGAAAAAAAGATTTCATTTATCGTTAACGATAAATGACTCATATTCCACTTATTGATAACTTTTCTATGTGTGATTATTTTAGAGGCTTTATTTTTCGTAAAATTTTCTTCCTTCTTTCACATATAGTTAAGAATTTACTCTTGAAATATGCTATGCACATGGTCATTACGTTTGACAACAACATTAAGTGACTTGCAGCAACGTCATTCTCTCGGTTTGCTCTCCAAAAAAGTACTGTATTATTTAGAATTTTCATTATAAGACATCTACTAATTATGATTTTACTAAACGACCATTGAATTGCTTTTCGGCGTATAGATTATACTGAAGTGCTACAAAATATACTGAAAAGTCTAGGTAAAATAGAATCACGTAATGATAGCGCGATCTTGATGAAAACAATCAGCGAAGAAAGACACTTTTAATTACACCGTCTGCTAAAAGTACACCTTCAAAACAGTACTTGTCAACAATGTTGACTCGACATTGTATTGCGATGTCGCCTATGTAATTTTCTTTTCTTTCTGTTCTACCAGCTGCTCTTATAGAACACATCAAATATTCACAGTAGTCAAAATGCGCGCCTCATAACTTGAAGCGATACTGCACATTGAAACAAAATTTGCTTTTTATTAATATTTATTTTGCCATGAATGGCGCCCATCAATTCATTTCTATATTTCTCTGCAGTCCATTAAAAATGTTCTGCTTTTTATTTAGATTCTCAATAGCTTAGTTATTAACACAAGAGTGAGGCTTTCAAAACACACTCACCAATAATTGACTTAATCATACACAAGCTTTAAGAAGCATCTTTTTATTATATTTCATTAGCTACTTCGAACTACGCTAAAGACGTTCAATCGAACCCACACGAATTTCTAACAGTGATGCTTCAGTAAGCGTCTACCATCGCGAATATAGCTAGATTTAAATTGATGTGATGAGTCCATTCTAATGCGTGGATTATCGATTACAACGAATATCATCACTTTGCGAGAATATGCCGTTCATTTGTAATAAATATAACTCCTTCAGTCTCAATTGTTACTCACAAACCAAAATCAGATGCATCCAATAAGAAAGATTTCTGTTGCCGTGATGCTGCTATTATCAGTGAGGCTAAAATACTGATGGTATCCGAAGAGAAGCTTGAGATTTGCTTATTATGTCTTTTGTGAAAAGAAAAGTAATAATTTGATACCAAGTAATTCAGAACCGAATTGATTTTCATGATATTATAACCCAAGAGACTTTGACAATAAACAAGACAGCTTAAATAGTATTAAATAATGTTCTTGGATGAGTGATATATCTCTTTTCCCTTTTTAGATTATATCGTTTTAGCATCATTCAAATGATTAAATTCCCTTCCCCACACGATCGTGTACTTCCACATAAAATTAAAATTACCTTTCCAGACGGCGGTTCAGCGAGATCAGATACTCTTGATCGAGTAATAGGCTCTCTCATTGGATTAGCCATTGGTGATGCATTGGGGGCTAGTGTCGAATTTCGTCCACACGAGTATCTTCGACATCATCCTGTCACTGACATGCAAAAAGGAGGGACATGGGGTCTTAGTCGAGGTCAGTGGACGGACGATACATCAATGGCTCTATGTCTTGCCTCATCGCTGATTACGAAACGACGCTTCGACCCGTATGATCAAATGGTTCGTTATAAATGGTGGTTTAAACATGGTTTCCTCTCATCGACTGGACATTGTTTCGATATTGGTAGTGCTACTCGTCACGCACTTGACGAGTTTAGTCGTCGTCAAAAACTCCTACACAAAGTTTATCAGTGCAGGACTGAAGAAGAAGCTGATCGACTTTCGCTTGAGCAAGTGAAGGCCGTAAAAGAATTCAGTCTGAACTGTAGTTCAGTGGGTGTCGCTGGAAATGGACCACTCATGCGCCTTGCTCCGGTTCCACTCTTTTATTTTCGTTCTCCAAATGAAGCCATTGACTATGCTGGACGCAGTGCTACACTAACACACGGTGACAAAATAGCTTCTGATGCTTGTCGATACTACGCAGCACTTATCGTCGCGGCCATCCGAGGTGAGCCTAAAGAGCAAATATTAGCTGATAGATTTTACGATGATCATCGAGATTGGTTCGGATCTAGTGATCTTCATCCAGCAATACTTGAAGTAGCTAACGGGTCCTATAAACGAGCAGGTGGTTATAATGATGGAATCCGTGGAAAGGGATACATAGTGAACTCACTGGAAGCTGCTCTTTGGGCCTTTTATTACGATGAGAATTCATTCAAGACAGGTGTTCTTTCGGCTATTCATCTTGGAGACGATACTGACACAACAGCAGCCATCTATGGCCAGTTGGCTGGTGCTTACTATGGCTGGCCAATGATTCCAGAAAATTGGCGGAGACAGTTGTATGCCAATGAACTGATTACTTGTATTGGCCATTGGTTACATTATCTTGGTGAACACCAGTCTCCTGTCGAGCAGCAAACACAAAGGGTGCGTGTACCAAGGGAAGTACCCGCCGCGAATCATCCATTTCAACATCAACAGCTACGTGCCAGGAATTCTCTGCAAAATGAAGCACAAAAAGCTACGGCTGCTACTGGCTTAAGCGGCTATGGTACAGGTGCCCCTTGGTCATACACTAAGCCGAACTCAAAATTTGTTAATCGACCCGATCCGTATGTTGCTCAAAAATCAGGCAATAAAGGTCGTACTATCAACACAGAAATATCTTTGCACGGTATAACTCCAACTGCAGGTTTACCCAGCCATTACAAAACCGTTGGAGCATTTGGTTATGGTATTCCGCCAAATTATTTTGGCAAACGTGCCAGCTAGTAATGTTAGTGGTAACCAGTTCTGACAACGGAATCAATTGTCCAACATGCTTTTTTACGTCCAATCAATGATACACAACGCATATAGCTTGAAACATAACTAAATTCCATTTTTTTATTGCATCAAACAAAAGGCTTAACTATACTCTCTTGCAGACACGAGTATCGGAAATAGCACTATTTAAAGGTCTATGTTTTACTTGAAATCTAAAACCGTCTAAGAATTAATTTTGCAAAAGAAAAACAAGGTGCTCCAAGGAGAACCAATTCTGTTTTGTGGGAAACTATTGTTAAGGACTTCTGGAATCGAGTAGAAGACGGAATTTTAAAACTCCTCCATGCGTTCTTTTCCTCTGGAGAGTATCAGATATTCTAAAAACAATAAAAAGACAAGCTCTAAGGGTAATCATAGTGCAATAGTCAAAATTGCAGTTCGGGTGTCGTCGAATGATTTCTGCTTCCAAAACAAATCAATCTGGAAAACTAGAGAATTTTGCAACATTAATAAAATTTATGATGTGGTTTTAGTCTCCGGTAATTTCGGCAAACCGTATATACTGTTTTCTTTTTTCTAGCATGTTACAGAATGCATTGGCTATCAAGTTACACTACGATACCACTTCAATTTTTCAGTTTATACCTAGGCCAAGCTTCGGAAAAGAATTTTGATGTTCCCTCAGGCTTTTCATTTGAATTCATCCAGTTGAGATAAGAGGAATAAACATATGATGGATCAGATAAGATTTTCTACCGATCCTACCAATTCTGCTAAGTCAAAAACCCAGTTGCTAAAAGATCTCCCTGATCATCAGTACATGGAAAATTAGAAGTGATAACTTGTTGTTTCACGTTTGTCCTGCAAAATGAAACGTCATAAAACAGGAGACTCAAGTTTAGAGAGATTATATTGGTTACTCAAGTAATAAAAAGTACAAATAGAATGGCCAACATTCATAGTCAATCAATGCAACTACCTATTTCTCAAGGATACACTTGAAAAGCTTGTATTTAAATACGTGTATCAAAGCAAGTTGTGAATTAATTTCAGTGGTTTAAATAAATATTTTCGGATACATACCAGAAGTCACGGTCTACAAGTAAATGCTTTTTTATCTTAGAGATTTGTTTCGAACATTTCGACATAAGCCTACTCGTAATGATCTAAAGGAAACATCACAGTCCCTCACTTTTACCCATTCAATGTCATTTAGTTGAATATACACGCGCATTTCACAAGCGTCCAAACAAAGGAATAAAAATTTTAAAGAGTACTTGTAAAGGAGAATCTAGATTTTCATCATTGGAATGCTGGCGTATGTATGGATATTCACTAGTGATACATAAATTTTCACTCAACTATGATATTGCTTCGTGTAGCAGTTTTGACCAACACATTGATTACTTCAACTATTGTTTGAATTTAAACGTTATTGATTTGAATTATGTACTATTCTAAGAAGCCCAGTGTGATCATTAAACCTTCTATTAAAATACGTATCGAGAATATTATTTACTCAAAAATTGAAAAATGCCGTACAATTACAGATAGAATCAGTTTTGTTTTTAAAGGAAAAGGTAACAACCGTTATGATGTAACTGTATAAAAGTTAATAGGCGTACATGTCGAACTCACCAATTTGAGAAGTGTTACGGTGCTCTGAAACTGGAATAGACACGCTTAATGCGCTAAAGCCTGTTGCAAATCTGCTTCTTTTACAAGTCACCAAACACAGCGCGAGTCTTTGTAGAAAATCGCAAATGTGGTAATTTAATTCAATAGAGCTGGCTAAATCCAATAAGATGCTATTGGGTACTTTTTGCTTTCTTGATGGCTTCATTGATCGTTTTCTAAAAGGTATTTGAGAAATTTTCAATAACTCTTCACCTAAACAATCATCCAAATATAGTCGAAGATTTTAACGAAAAATGGCTGCATACTAAGAAAGATTCAGACCTACCATAGGAAACGCTGCGGAACACGTTAAATCGGTCAGCATTAACGCGTTTCGCAGTGAATATATCTTAATTTTTTATCCCATGGGCATGAACACTGCGAGTATCAATTTTTCATATATATATGTTACAGTTGACATGAGAATTTAGTTGAGATTGAAATAATAGATTTAATTAAAGATAGAGAAAATAGACACAAAAGAGAACGAAGAAACGAAAAGAAAAGAAGAAAAGAAATTCAAAAATCAAAATGTAAATAAAATTATATGAACGATATGGAAATTTTTTTCTACGAGTTAGATTTAGCAAACTATTTTCTAATTGATCATAATTTAGATTTCTTTTCTAAATTGGTGACAAAAAAAAATACTTTTATTTCTGATTTTTCGTTTATCTCAACGCGCTCTCATCTCGCTTGTATGAGTCACACAGTAATTAATGTATCTTGCTGAACTGATACTTTAATATTGAAAGGAAATAAAATACTTCGTTGATTATGACATCAATGTTACATCATTAAATAAATACTTATTTATCCGAGTTTTACACTCTAAAAATTTAGTAGAATCTATTAATATCTAACTTTTTTGTCATCATTTCTTTATTAATTTAAGCTTTTATAATTGATAATCGTCACTATGAAACAGACAATGATTAGACATAAGTTACGAAGTTTCTTTTATATTAGCTTATTTATTTTTAACGAAGAACGATTGTAGTTAATAACACATCAAATGAAGTACCCATACAAGAAACTTCTTTATTAATTTCATGAAAAATTTACAAAAAAAATTACTTTCCTGCCATATCATTCGATATAAAAACTTTTTCCATTCCCATCCCACCTGTTCGAGACCCGTACTTCGAAATAACGATAGCAAAACTCTCTTTCTGTCATTTCTTCGAATGCATAACGAAAGAGAAAAATCAATGTCCCAATGTCCCGCGTATTAAAACAAACATCTTTTCAGAATCTTTCTCATTTCTCTCTCTTCAATCGTGAAAGGTTGACACAATTTATCTTGGAAACAACTATATATATATAGATATATATGCATCGGAGATAATGTAACTTGTGTATTTTCAATTTTCGTTTTGCTCGCATACAGAAGCGTTCCGAGCTGCATAATCAAGGCTCAGTGAGCATTTGGGTTTAAATCAGATAAGAAGCGAGTTACAGAGTGCGAGCATTGCATGCCGGAGTTCAAGCTGAGTGACATTATTTTCGTCGATTCGAACTTCATATGCTAAATATTTCGTAAAATAAATTCATAATCAAAGACAACAGTATCAAGTGTGATCCATGCTAGATCTAAGATTTTATTTTAATTGATTGTTTTGTTAGCAAATCAATTGACTAAGGTCTGAGTTGGTCATCATCAGGCATGGTAGCCATATCAGTTAGTAATCGGTGCATAGAGCTAAAAATAGATGGTAGCAAAATCGATTGTCTACAATAGATAAACGCATATGCGTAAGTATTTTCAGTCTCGATTAGCTCCCTAATTTGTGCGCGACAGAAAAATTTTCCTATATTGACTGGTAAGCGTTCGATGGTGATTATTCGACGAAAAGTAGGGCTCTGGTCCAAAGATCCAGCTGAAGAACCTGTTTCTGAAGTAAATATAGCCTTCGGCTTAAGATTTCTTAGCTAGTTTTAACTTCTGCGAGTATTGGGTTTTCATCTGACGCATAAAGCGCGCTTACCTACATTCACAACCGAGACGTACGCCCACCATTAGGTGCTTGCTTAACCCAAAGTTTTACTGGTTGATTCACTTACAAATCGTACCACTCGGTAGAAGATAAAATTCTCTATCAGAAACAGTCTGTTTTAAATCTAACGTAAAGCACACAGTGAATCGGGTTTGATAAAACTTGGTTATGGTGTTAGTCTTATATAGGTTAGAAATCTTACCCTCTGAATCACGAGATGAATATACAAAATTGTTTTTTGTATTCTTGGATAAAGCCATTAGGCAAGACAGCGCGTTGTTTTTCTTATCTTTGTTACCAATAAACGTATATAAGGATGATAAGAATCAAGAAAAAAAAACTTCAAAAATCCAGATTGCCACTTCAACCGTCTAAATCGTTGCAAGTTAGTGCATTTTTTTTCCTCCGTTAATGCTTAACAAAAATTGAACACGATAATTTAGGTCTCTAATAAAGTACTGCATTATATTATACTATTTCCTTACAGCATTCACAGTTTTGATTTTTCAGCGTATCGATTCTATTCAAATAGTAGAAAATTTGTTGAGAAATCTAAGTAACAGACTATGATAGAATCTGCTAATGATAGAACGATGGTTATAAAAATAAGAAGTTCAATTTTGATACTTTCAAAAAAGTTTCTGAGAACGCTTCATTCTAATATTACCGATGCATCCTTCTTTTTTTCTGCCGCATGAGTTCCGTTTGTAATTTCTTATTCTTTTTTTCTTCTCCTGTAGAACAACTTAAATATTCGCACGGGATAAAATTCACTCTACGTCACTATACGCGATACTGTGCATTGAAACAACATTTGTTTCTTATTAATACTTCTTTTTGCAACATTCATCTGTGCCTTTCTACACTGATCTACGGGTCGTGAAATTTTGATGCATTGATGCAAGAGTCTTTGACAGTAAATAAGACAGCTTAAATAATATTAATTTATGTTCTTGGATGAGTGATGTTTCTCTTTTCCCTATTTAGATTATATCGTTTTAGCATCATTCAAATGATTAAATTCCCTTCCCCACACGATCGTGTACTTCCACATAAAATTAAAGTTACCTTTCCAGACGACGGTTCAGCGAGATCAGATACTCTTGATCGAGTAATAGGCTCTCACCGTGTGTTAGTGTAGCACTGCGTCCAGCATAGTCAATGGCTTCATNACAGCAGCCATCTATGGCCAGTTGGCTGGTGCTTACTATGGCTGGCCAATGATTCCAGAAAATTGGCGGAGACAGTTGTATGCCAATGAACTGATTACTTGTATTGGCCATTGGTTACATTGTATTGGAGAAGAACAGTCATTCATTGGACAGTCATCTCCTAGTGAACATAAGTCTCAAAATGAACGGCAAGCTGTCAGTGAACAACTAGCTATCAGCGAACGATCGCTCCTCAGGGGGCAGCAACCTCAGAATGAGCAGCAATGTGCCAGTGAAGAAAAGCCTCCGAATGAGCAGCAATCTGTCAGTGAGGAAAAGCCTCCAAATGAACAGGAAACAGAAAAAGTAGGTGAGAAAAGGCATATAGCCAAAGCGAATACTGGATTTCCACATAAACTACTAAGTACCTTGAAATCTTTACGGAGTGGAGTACAAAAGAATACAGTTGCTAGTGTTCATAGCGACAATAATTTGAATTTGCGTCGGCTTCCCACTAGCGCAAATCAACCACGAATTCCACAAGACAATCTATATGTTGTTCAAAATCGCGACAATAAAAGTGAAAACATCGGCACAGCTAGTCAGCGAGTTTCAACTCCCGGGTTACCCAGCCGTTGCAGAAGCACAGGAATAAAAACGAAAAAATTATAGCTTGTGGGGGTTTTTACCCAATGATCTTCAATTTTGGAATATATTTTTACTTTTCTAGTTATCCTATATGTTGTAGCTCTTAAAAATGTCTATCAAATGGTAGATAAGATAACAATTCTATTATGATTTATTTGTGTCGAAGATGGAAGAATGCTTCCAAGAGAAATAGTCAAATAGTCAACTTTTGTTTGTGCTCATAACTTTTTTGCAATGCATTTTTCTTGGCGGATTTAGTATCAAAATGCTTGTCTGAACGAGAGCTTTCAATTCATATGTAATTTGACTAGGTTGAGTTGAAAAACGCGCAAGAGGCTGATAGGGTATCTTATATGCCCCCGTCCTTTGTTTCATATATTCGAGTTCGGTATCTCTCATCGGTTTCTTATGTATTTTCTATAGAGAGATGACAGTACTTGGTCGATGAGGAATAAAATTCGCAGGGCTACATAATATACACAAAAATTATAGCGATCGAAAGATTTCGAAAAAGAAGTTGAAACAACGAACTAGTTCGAGGTACGTGCACCATAGTAATGGCGGCACAGTTATAATCTACAATTTCGTCTTCGCTTTCAGATATTTTATAAGAATTAAATTATTATTATGTAGTCGCTGACGAAGATGAACAGCAAGAGTGGACTCAAAAAACAGTCCGCATTGCTTGTGAAACCAGAGTATAAATTCACAAAATCTTTCATTCATATTTGCATGTATATCAAAGCATTATGTTCAGATGAAAGAATTTCTATATGAATTTATTGGAAAAAGAAAAAGAGCTTAATGCGAAGCTAATATAGACCGCATGAACAAAATAATCACGAGTGATGTATGTACCAACAACAATGATTTGTCTTTGATTCACAACCATTGAATCTAGTGAATAATTCAATAAATTGTCATTTTTAATACTATTGATCTTCATCGATCATTATTTCACCGTGTAGATTTTTTCGAAGAGTTCATTTAATGAATCCTACAAATATAAGAATACTGCTATAATAAATATTGATTTCTTGTCATCGAGATATCACTACGAAGAAAAGCAATGCTTTTTTGATTGATTTGTGTTGTTTCGAAAGCAATCAGATAGTTTATGTTTCATAGTATCAGTATAATTCACTTTAAGCATTTCGATAAAGAAAATCGCACAGCTTTTGGAGCTCAAGAAATTGATCTCTACAAGTTTACATCGTAACTGACTCTAAGGGAAAGAAAATATATCAAAATTTATAATATTCTTTTCAATTTAAATATTAACTGTGTTAGTAGACTAAAACGAGATCAGCTGCATTTTTCTTTTAGTTCGAAAAATTCTATTCCTTGCCTTCAGGCTTTATTTAACATATCATCTGATAGTGACATCCATTACGTCAATACATATTGTTTAGACATAGTGAGAGTGACAATCAAAATTATATTTCGAACCCAACCACCTTGAGAATAACAAAATGAAAAAGAAACAACTTTAAATTGTTCTAGTGAAAATTTCATGACTGCAGCTATTTTAAAAGAATGGAATTTATTGCATAATTTTCGTTCAACGTTCTTAAGTGTGTAGAGAACATCCTGTCGTGCCTTCTCTATTTATATTTTCAATTGATTCGCCACAGCAAAATATTCTCTTGCATAATCTAACACCACTAATTTTTTAATATTTCTTATGTCTTTCTTTGGAGGAAAATAAAATGAGAGAAAACTTTTAATAGATGCGAATCGTTTGCTGGTATTTTACTGATTTAAAATCGAATCGAATCGAATCGAATATTTAAATAAATTCTCTTACTGTTGGATCGTTCTCGACGAGTGAACCATTTTTAATAAATCCTTTAGATTTGAAAGCGAATCTTTTATAAATATGTTTTGCTTTTGCATTTTGCGTAAATAAACAAACAGTAATGCCAGTTTTAATCGTTTGTTGAATATACTTATCGATGTATGCGAATAAAATTCCTCCAATCCCATGTCCACGAAAATCACGATGAATATTAATTCCTCCAATCCAAACAGCTTGCTCTAATGATAATATCTTTCCCATGTCTCGATCATCTGAAGCAATCGTTCCGGTAGCAACGGCTCGATTCGGTTGATTGTGAAAGAAAAGGAAAAATGTATTCATTAGATTATTTTGATTTTTAGTTGATAATTCGTCATTTTCTTCTATCCACTGCCAGAAACTAACACCATTCTCTTCGTCGATCGGTTCCGACATCGATAGAATCCAATTCTTAGCAGAAATACAACGTTCAGAATCGCTTTTCAAACATCTGAACGTAACTACATCGAAATCATTTAAGCCATACGAGCAAGACATTTTAATCTAAACATAAATGTTTTCAATGAAAATCAACAACATCAGTACAAAAATTCAATCTTTCAAAATATGAATTTTAAATCCTGAGAATAAAACCATAGAACATCTCGAAATCTTATTGACTAGAAAAGAACCATTTTCCTACTTAATGTTACGAGGATGACCGTATCATTTCATTATTCAAATGCAACACGTAGTACCATAAACACAATAACACTTATGCAATGCGTTATGTTCGTCAAAAGTCAGATATCAATAAACCAGAGATTTCAAGAAAAGCTACTGATGATTTGAGATTAATCATAGGTTTAACTGGAGCAAATCGAAAAAAATAGTTTTGATCCTCATTAAAATCATGCTCACGAACGATACTTTTTGCTGATGTCATAACGAGTACTTATATATGTGTATTTAAAAGAAGGCACACAATTTGATAATTTCTTCTTTAACTCAGTTTTTGCACCGTAGGAAAGAAGACAATTATTTACTCTGTCACAAGCTGAAGAAAGAAAAGGTCTGAAGATAAGAAACATTTGAGATTGTTGTGCAGCATCACAATGCACGAAATACAAAAACATGGCTAGTTATCAATGCGTACAGAAGAATAAAATGAGCCGACATTGTTCAGTCTTGTGAGAATTGCATGAAAGATTAATGTTTCAACTTGATCTAGCAACGGGTTTGGTAAGATTAAATTATCGAATCTTCGCAGGACTTGTAATTAAGCTCGATTCCACCAAAATCTGTGATACTTCTGTTAAAGAATAAAAAATCTCATTGTTTTTATTGATATGCCCACTTTTTGAATAAGTATAAGCATGTATCATATTTCAAGAAAATCAGTGATAGAATTACAGTTTATCGTGATGATGGCGCAGAAACGGTTTTTACCAAAACCAGCGAGAAATTGAAACCAACCACAAATTAATAATTAATTAGAGTAGTTTTGTCAAGATTTCTTAATCTTTTCAACTACTATAGACATAAGCGTTCTATTTTCTAAAGCATTTTTTTTGTGCTTTTCCTATCACATAAGTAGTTTTTTGATTTTATCGGTCTTTTATTCTTTTAAAGTATGCAGATGCTGAATTTCCCAATAGAAATTTTAGAATAGTGAAATCAAAATCTCTCACCATAAAAGAGAAAACTAAAATTATATATACAAACAATCGCTGTGCCTGTTGATATACAGGCGCTGAATAATCGACGATTTTATCGTTTTTCAACTCCCAGCTATTGTTTCCGTAGGTCCGATAAATCGCCAATGCTTTGCAGGATATCAAGGGCATAAGGTCAAATGATGCTTCAGATGACGAATTCGAAAATATTTAAAATGCATTAGAAATATAACTTGATTAATGGTGTGCAATCTCAATTTTACAATAAGGAATGTATTTCAATCTAAAGTCATAGCATCATAATTAAATTCAATGATATCATCCGAATCAACAGATAAAGTTTTCAATAGATTAACATTACATTTCACCTGAACTCAAATTTCATCTAATTGATGATCTGTTTCTCAATGAATGATAATTTCAGTGATTATTATGGTACACGAAAAAGGAAGATGATGTCACGTTTCTTTTTGCAAACGTCAATGCAATTCAGTTGCAGCTAAACAAGTGGGTATTTTTAATTCGAGTTCTTTTCTTTAACAGATTTCAGTATACGATTTTTTTTTCAAATAACGTTTCAAGAATAAAATTTTCATTAATAACAATTGCATTAAATGTGCGTCATAAGCATCATTCGTAAAAATAGCCTCGTTAAATTGAGACGTGTTATTTTTCTACACAATCTATGCTATGTTTTTCTTGTCTTTTGTTCTTACTCTTATCCTGCAACCGAATACAAATTCCACATCAAAAGCAAACAAAAATAAATCATTTTTTTCTTACCCGTGTTGAGAAACATGCGTCTCACGCTTCTGAGTTTCTGTTTTCTTATTGACTAAAGATAAAAAAAACTTCACACAATACCAAAAACACAACTTTCTCGGAATACGATTCATTTAATTTCAATCGTAAATAAAGACGTAGCATCATCCTAACAATTTTCATCGTCATTGGATCTAATTACCAATCGAATAGTCTTATCGAACTGCTTCAACAGTTGAAAACAAACTTGCTTTGTGGTCGAATAAATTCGACTCTTGAATCATTGAAGAAGAAGAAGAAAAACATCCACGGAGTGTGGTTTATTTTTCAATTTTGTTTCTCTGTAAGTATAGAATTACATTCTAGCTCAGAGTATGCAACATATAGCAATCAACAGAAATAATATTTGACAGGCAAATATTTCTTTACCCAGATAAAGATCCCCACAGAAAATTTCAATTTTGACATTACTGAATAAGTTATAACTGCAGTAGAAAATACAGCATTGGGTGCTAATTTTTGAAGCGAAAGTACTGCAATATTTATTTTTGCATCAAATTTTAGTTTCGTGCTTCATGCCAAGGTTGAACAGGCCGGCCTGGAAACGGTCGGTTCTATTTAGTTCCGTTGATTTTGTGGAAGCAGTTTCCCGGTTGGAAAATTTTCGGATTTTTCCCAGTGATTTCCGATCAATTCCTGCCGAAACGCACCGGAACTTGGCGAGAATCGGCCGGAAAAGTCCGGCCGTATTTTTGACCGGAATACTGCTTCCATGTTCCAGCAATTTCCCGTGTTTTCCTGCGGGATATGGTGACTTCTCCGCATATTTCCTGGAGTATCATACGGGATCCGGTGGCCGGAATGTTCGACCTGGATGGTTTTGAAACTAGACGAGCATGAAATCACTACTATTCTCTTCGAAATCGTCGTATCTTTTACTACAGTTTACAGTGTTTTTTAAAAGTTTTCCTTTGCCTGGGTATACTGCTAGAGATTTGATCATTCTATGGAACCACTCACAGTTCTAAGTCTTTAACCGACGTAAAATCATATGAATCGGACTTTTTAAATATCTCTATCGAAATCCGCTGAATATCTTTAATGAATTGCCTATTTTTTTCACCACATGTTGAATGATCAGAAGTCTGCTATTGTTTTCCTCCTGTTATATATTGTCGAAATTAAGCTATAATTTCTGCAATACAAAATCGCAAGAGAAATGAATTTCTCTTTTTTTTAAATATAGTGCAGCATTAAATAATAGCCGAAAAACAAATTGTCGAAATGGCATCTAGCCAACAAAGGCTCGACAATGAGCGACGCAATTCAATAACATCCGTGAGTCATTATGAATAGAGCTGAAGCAATAAAAATGATTTGTTTCGTTGTAGACGATTTCCTTGTGGGATAAATTACCTGAAACAAAATCGGCGCCTGTCGATATTGCCAACGATAATGATTTTATTGATGAAGATGATCCTACGGAAAATGATACTGAAGAAGAAGTTGATATTCTAGACAATAATCCACCAACAACTATGCATAAACGTTTTGCATCAAGTTTAAATCTTAAAAATTTAGAACAAAGCGTTCAGCTATGGCAATTTGAAGAGTATGATCAAATTAAAATTATTGCGCACCAGGAAGATATGGGAAGGGCTAAAACTGAACTTCAACGACGTTTATCAAGTCAAGAACTTCGTTGGATACCCAACGATGGCGAAAGAATTCGTTCATGGCATCTTGGTTTATCATTTCTACGTTTTCAACTGAAACGTACGCAGCAGATTGATATGATTCTGTTAACTTCTATCCGACCATTCGCTTGTTGGTTCAGGTTCAAAAATACAGTAGAAGAGCAGCAGAACCGACGTGTTGTAACACAAACTGAGCGGCTTCAACCGATTCGATATGGACATCCGCCACGTTTTCGTATTTTTCTTCGTTACGGTGCACTTATTGAACTCGATGAATTTTGTTACTCGTCGCAACATTCATGGTCAAACAACCTTCCAACGAGATTCGCACTATTTATTGACAATGAGCGTTCGGGTGGAACCATCGAATGGGTGATAGAATACCCTGAAAATCGAATAAAGAAACAATTATTAGCAAAAAATGTGGATCGTTATGTTATTATTCATTTGCTACCCGACGGATTTGCGATGTATATTTGCCAAAAGTGTAATATGAATGAATTTATCGCAGTAGCTGGAAAACCAAGAAATGTCGTCAGAAGTCCTTCTCATCCCAGTTCCGATCCCCTTCGGGGTCCCATGCGCTCTCGGGGTCTCATTCGTCCGTTACTTGTGGCTGCTCCAGTAAGACAACGACCTTCTTATGATAAGTATAAACGAATCGGCACACGTGAAGGAATTCATTTTCCAACTGTGCAGTTTGAATTTCGTATCGATCCCAATCAATTAGCGAACGAACAAGCTAGAAATGCTGTTCAACGTACATATAACGTGCTTGTACAATTTTTCACTTCTCACCATATTAAGATTTGTTATGGAAGAATAAACTCAAATCCAGGTCCTCAAATCGATTTGCTGTCTACTTTAAAATTACCAAGTCTTATCATGAAATATTCTTGGCAAATGCTTTTGAATATTGGCTATCGTTTACAAGTTCAAATAGATCATCAATTCTGTGATGATTTATCTCTGTTGAGTAGAGAAAAATGGAATGCAGATGATTTATTTTATCGTGTATGCGTTTATCTTTGGCGTCTTTTTACACTTGAACCTTTTGTTAATTTATCGGAAAAATTAAACGAAGCTATAGCAGAATCAAAGCGTAAACGAGAAAATAGTACTTTTGGGCTAATCAATAGTTTGAATTGTGAGTACAACACTGAAACCTATGTACCATCGGTAACATTGACACCGACACTTATTCGAATAAAGCCACTCAAATTGTGTCGAACTAATCGAGTTTTGCGAGCTACCCAAGAATTTGGCAACGCATTGGAACACTTTGCTCTTGTCGATATTCGTGACGAAAATGGTGAACGATTACAATCTTTTCATTTTCGAGATTTACATGGTCATTTTCTTGAATATTTGGAACGCGGTTTTCCACTTATGGATAATAATCGAGCCTATAGATACCTGCATCATTCCCAATCACAAATACGATCGAGTCAATTTTGGTTTTACCACCATGAACCAGGCTTAAATCGTTCATTAGATGAAGCTTATGAATGGATGGGAACATTTGACGCAGAGAGAAACGTCGCAAAAAATGCTTCTCGAATAGCTTTATGCTTCTCGACAACTACTCCGACTATTGAAGTAATTTGTTTTGTTGGAACACTATTTTTCTGTTTCTCATCAATAGTTTTATTGTCTGGTTTAGATAGATCCCCAATATGTTCATTCGATACCGGACATCAAGACAACAGATGAGAAATTAGTGTTCACAGATGGATGTGGTACTCTATCGGAAAAATTAAGCCATGATGTATGTATATAAAAATGAATACTGCATGGAAACTTGATTTTTCTTTTTGTTACAGATTCGAAAAAGCCTTGGCAAGGGACCCTTTAGTGTCGTTCAATTTCGGTATGCAGGTGCTAAAGGTGTTGTTAGTGTCAATCCACAACTTGGACCAGGTTATCGTCTATGTATTCGTCGTAGTATGGATAAATTCGTAAGCGAACATCGATGTTTCGAAGTCTGTAAAGTATCTGCACCGCGATCACTCTATCTCAATCGGCAAGTCATTCTTCTTTTATCAAATCGTCGTGTAGCTGATTCTGTCTTTCTTATGCTTCAACAGCGTAATAATTTCGCTCTCATTCGATCTCTATTAAGAAACGATGATGCCAAATATTTACTTGTCGAAAAACTCCCATATTGGTTTTTACCTATTGGTGCAAAGATCGATTTTGTTCATGAACCCTTCTTTCGACAAGTACTTATAACTGCATGTCTTAGTTCTGTAAGAGACATACTCCGACGAACACGTATTTGTGTTTCACGCAATAAAGCTCGAAATATGTTTGGCATTATAGATGAATACAATGTATTAAAACCAGATGAAGTTTTTGTTCAATACACGCAACTTCATGATCGTGAAGATGCAAACGGGCGTGGGAAAAGTAAAACTACACGAATTCTTCATAATTGCAAAGTTGTTGTTACAAAAAATCCTTGCCATCATCCTGGTGATGTCCGAACATTTACTGCAGTCGATCATGCAGCTTTAAAACATCTCAAAGATGTTATCGTCTTTTCTCAGCAAGGCAATTGTCCAGCACCACATCAAATCAGTGGATCTGATCTTGATGGCGACGAATATGCAGTGATATGGCATGAAGATCTTGTTCCACTTCAAACTGATAATGCGGAACCATACAACTACGATTCAAATACAAAACCTATGGAACTCGATCGACCTGTGGGACGAAGCGATATACATGATGTAGTACTAAACATAGCTGAGAGTGACTTTTTAGGGCGATTGTCTAATTTACATTTGGCTTACGCAGATCTTTTTGGAGTAGATAGTGACATAAAACCGCAAGCAGATGTCTTATCAACTATTGGACTAGCCGGAGCAATCAGCGAAGAAGTTGATAGTGGAAAAACTGGAGTACATCCATTAAATGATATGAAGATAAAGAAACAAAAAGACGCATTAGGAGACAGCCGGCCAGATTTCATGGAAAATGCAAATATGAAATCTTATAGATCTGACAAGATACTTGGTAAGTAAGTTACATTGAAACATTAATTAGATAGCCGAATGTTTTTTTCTTTCATGTGAGAAAAAGAAGTTTTTTATAGATTTCGTGTGTATCTCTAGGAAAACTCTATCGTGCATCACGTCGAACATTACCTCTCTGGAATAAGCTTCTTCGACGACATCGTTATTTACGTCATTTACAGGTTCGAACTCCTGAGGATGAAGATGAAGAGCAAGATCAGGAAGTGGTCGTCGAGGATGATCAAGCAAACATGATTCCGCTGGATTCTTCTCTTCTTACTACAAATCAATCTAGTGTAAATCATGAAATGTCAGCAATTGCATCCCAACTATTTTATGTTTATCGACAAGAAATGCTTGAAATTCTTAATCTATACGGACTTTCACATGAAAGCGATCTATGGTGTCGGCAGGCAACAAATATTGCGGGTAGTGAGCTTGAAGATACAGCTTTTACTCAACTCGAACAGCTTGTTACGCGTACACGTGACGCTTTCTCCATGCACTTAATGTCATTTTGTCCAGATGATAACAGTAACTGTGATGGAACTACAGCTTTCGAAAGCTTATGTGATTATTGTCAACACTTGCATAATTCGGTAGCTTCTGCATTGTATCGCGAAGCATATAGCGGACAAAACGGGTTGGAACGAGCCCCTATTCTAAGTTTGCCATGGTTATTTGCTGCAGCACTTTTAAAGTCGCACAAAAGAGAGCTAACGCCAATGCAAGGACTACTTAGTGTAGGAATGCGAGCTGCAATCAATTTGCTCATTGAAAATAATCGATTAAAATTGGATGGATTGACGATAGAATTTCGCACATCGAAAAATGATCAGCTAATAGCAAATATAGATTGCACTGTGTGTGTTTTTGTTGAAATTCTCCACCGTTGTCTCAAGCCAAAGTCTTTTACTTTGTGGCCGATGATACTGAGCAAATTCATACGTGAAACAAAGTCATTCACATGCGAAGCATCATCCGTAGAGGAATACAATACAATTGATGATTGGTCATTAGTCTTTAGCAATCACGATCAGGACGATATGTATGTTGCGACGCTCATATCAATACAGTGGACCGAAGATGTTGATGAATTAATGCACTCGTATTTTGAAAACATTCTCGAAATATGCTTTACTCTTAGCCAATCAATGGAAGATGATAACAATGATTATCTTCGAGTGAGCGAAGAAATCATTCTAATACTTCAACGAATAGCGATCGAAGAAACACCTTTCCCGAAAAAGCACAGAAAATAAGACATTGCCAGCATTGCATTATCAACAAATTTCAAATTCTCCTTCAAATGAAAATGAACTTACTAAATGATTCTTAATTATTCATTTTTTTACCTTCAATAATCTTTTAAACGGATCTTGTCTCGTATTGCATTGAAAAACCTTTTTTTTTATGTGCCACTTCTCGTATTTTAGTCATGAATAAAGCCAATGAGATCGTTTCACTTTAATAGTCGAATATACATAACTGCTAGATTAAAAGATAAAAATCGATTATGTAAACTTCTATTTTGCTAACACATATTTTGATCAAAAATGATTCACTTCCTTTTGAATGAATCACGTATATTATCCGCATAACAACCTACTTAAAATGACATGATGCAATACTCACGTGACTATTATTGATACACATCGATGAAAAATGAGTGACTAATTCGTTTTCATTTTGCTTCAACGCCATACACGCAATACAGCACGGTAACAAAAATGTTTCGTACATCACATTTTCCATCGAAAAGTGAAACAAGCGATATATGTTCGATCTGCCTGAATTCATTGATACCAGGCACACCTCTTCTTATTTTATCTTGTAATCATAAATTTCATTTTCAATGCTTGACATCGAGCGTACAAGCGCAACATCAGTTATGTCCACTATGTCGAGTTTCAATCGATGCATCGATCATTCAATTAGTGTCAACAGCTCATCGTGGCGGTGATCATCAGCAGAGACATGTATCACCGAATATGAACCAAAGAGTTGTTCACAGCAACCGTCAACATCGTAGTAAATCTTCATCGGTAAGTAAAAATGTTGGTATCGAGTCACTTTTCTATTGAGAGACTTATTTATATGGAAAGAAAATAGTATCACAAATACAACATGTTAAATGTGCCGAGGCGGATATCATTATCGTTTCATTCTAAGACGTCATCCTTTCAGTCTAGGGAAAACAAATTCTCGGGATCGTGCTGTTCAACTTTTGGTAAAATCTTACGCTTTTGCAAAATAAAGTCAATAGATATCAGATAATACTGAAAAGTATGAATCAATGTAAAAATGTATGAAGAATTTCGTTTTCGTACCGGAGAACTCATAAAAGAACATTATCTAGTAGTATACAAATCAGTTCAATTCTATGGAAATTCTGTCGTTTAAATAGATGAGTGCTTCAAGAACAGATTTCGTGGATAAGACAAATCTTCAAGGAATAACGGCTCAAGCTGTGAGTACTGGACAGACAGCTACGATAACTGTCTCTGCAATGTTAGAATTTAAAGGACAATTATCACAGAGAGAGTCAAATATTTACGGGCTTGTTTCGCTTCAAACACCTTTTTATCGCCGATCATCAAAGGCAAATAAATTATCATCTCGTGTCCCAATCGATCTTGTTTGTGCTGTTGATCAAAGTGCATCGATGTCCGGCGCCAAAATGTTTCTATTGAAAAGAACATTAATGTATATTACTGAACAATTGACTGATCTCGATCGATTAGCTATCATCTCGTTCGATAATCATGCCTACGATCGATCTCATGGATTCCTACAAATGAATGAAAGAAAGTAAGCTTACGTGAGAATGCCAGATAATAGAAAAGCGCAACTGCTTTTGCCGTATGCAGACCGTTCTAATTACATCGATATTTATTGAAGTCGATACTTTTACATTTTTCAAGGTCTCCAAGTATATTATACTTCTTGCAGATATGCATTTTACAACACAAAACATTGCAGTATTAATATTCGAATTATTTTGTTTTGCAATATTTAGTAAATACAAATTGAACACGGTAATCAATGATGAAATCGAGGACGGATTTAGTACGAATATCGGATGTGGTTTAGAAATGGCCATCGAACTGTTCAGAAATCGCGATACAAAAAATCCCGTCAGCGCTTTATTCTTGCTCACTGATGGTAAAGACGATGAACCACAAGATTACTCCCATATCATCCGAAGACTGCCTCAAGGTGTAGTTTGTCATACATTCGGCTATGGAGCGGATCATGCAGCATCATTATTAGTACAATTAGCTGAACAAGGCAACAATGGCACTTTTACTTTTATCGTAAGTTCAGAGAGCTGCTTTACTTAACAGAAAATAGTTTCGATAGATTAAACGCTACCCTCGTGGTCGTAGTTGAATGCAAATACTGGCTAAGTTCTTGATATAGAAAAGAAACCGAATAGCTTGATGTGAGTGTCTTTTGAATAGGATACAGATGATGCTGTCGGTCCAGCATTTGCCATAGCACTGGCTGGTCTATTGACATGTGTTGCACAAAATATTCGTGTTAATATTGAATTCTACGGCAACTATAAAGTGACACATGCTCATTCCGCGTATACATATGAACCTGAACAATTACCATCTTCGAAACTTACTTTCAAATTAAACGATCTTAACGCTGACGAGAAACGAAATCTTATCTTTCAATTACATGTACCTGAAATAAAAGACAAATCTTCATCGCAAAATCAATCTATTCTGAATGATGTAATTGGTGAGTTGAACATAACTGGTGATGACTTCATTTGACAAGGAAAAATTTTCATTTTCATTTTTAAATAACTGCGCACTTGCCGTTTGTTTACATTTAATTAGGCCATGTTTCAGTCGTCTATGATGATCCAAAAAGGAATTTGAGATTCGCTACAAGACCAGATCCGTTTCATCTCATGCGAGCTTCAAATCTATCGTTGGACGATCTTCAAGTTAATTATCAAATTGATCTTCAACGAAATCGAATAGAAACAGCACTTGTATTAAGACAAGCTATGAATGAGCAAGATTATGGGCGATCATTTGAGCTGCTCAAAGCTCAAGTGAAAAACATAAAATCGAGTGTATCGGGTGAAGATCCATTCTGTCAAGAACTTATAAAAGATCTTGAATATCGCTATCCAAATGAACGTGCTTATCGTTCTGCTAACTATAATATTTACAGGCAACATGCAACTGAACGTGGTACTTATTCGAGCGTAAGCAGCTCGAGCGCGAAAGTCTATAATAGTGTACATCAGTTGCATCAAATGGGTCATTTTCAAAGCCAACACGAATAGAAGCTAGAGACTTGTATCAGTCAAATCGTTTATAATTTTAATTGAAGAAGAAAATTTTATCATATAGTTACAACAAATTTATTGCAAATATTACTTAAAAATAGAAGACGAAGCGTGCAGTGGCCACATCAACAATATCAAGCGACAGATCAAGCCCTATTGTTTTCGCTTCTTTTGGCGCAAAATGCTAATCCATAGAAAACATTTACAGAAAGGAACGAGAGAGCACGTTGTGCCGTCGATTTTTATATATACACTTGTCAACTGTGCCTTGAAATAAAATTTAAGTAACATTGATAAACAAAATTCAATAGTCAGAAAAAGGATCAACAGACAATACGATCGCAAGAAGTGTAAAAAATTTACGATTATGACAATCAGTCCTGATTACTGCATTCTCCATTTAAGTAAAGATCGATTTTGCTTTTTGGTGCTGTTCGATTGTCGATTATAAGAGAATACACATCTTAGATACTCGTTCAGAAGACTGAGTTTTATCATCCGGAACGTACTTTTCGATTTCAGCAAGAAAACGAATATACGTATCAATCGATAACATTTTTTGTTGGTCATCAGCTGCAACTTCACTTTTAAATGTTTGAAACATCAAATCCCAATATGTTTTACATTTTCTGTAGGCTTCATGAAGAAGACGCCCATTCATATTGCCAAGCACTGGAAGAAGACTCCCGAAGTTTTCATTGGTAAGAAATAATCGAACGTCATCGTTTGTCCACTGATTAATGCAGGGAGGATAATTCCTGAAAAATACAATATGTGCTATTCAGAGTCTTGAGAATTTTTCAAGTTGGTTATATTTATGTAGCGTGATGACTCACCGAGATGCGGATTGCTCACCGCGTGCACGACCTTGCACGGTGGCTTTAATAAGTTCTCCTATGGCAGGCGTGCTATTTGGAGATGAGTGTGTCGGCAAGGGTAATGCGTTTGAAGGAGTACGAAAACGAGCCATTTCGCTTTTTATCCTTTCATAAGCAATTTCGAATCCCAGTTTAGGGAAATCAACATAAATTTTCCCGCTCGCTAGAATACCCAACCATCCGTCGGGTCGATAGTTCTGCTTAATTATCAATGGAATCAAATGGCATCGGCGTTCAAATGCGTAATGAGCTTCCGATTGGCAATAGGCACTTTGTTTATATGTATCCGACATGCATACAAAGACGAATTCTGAGTTTTCAATAGCATTTGCCATGGCAGTCATTGTTTGTCCGTGCATCTGGTCACGATCAAGCCAAACGCGAAACTGGTCCTGCACAAGACGATCATAGATATGATAACATAAGTCTTTGTCACTATGTGAATAACTTAACATAATGTGATAGGCTTTTGTAGTAAAATTTGTTGTCGTCGATAAATCCGGCTTTGTCATGGCTGTTTCTTCTTCTTCTAATTTCCAAAGAAGACCTTCGGCTACTCGTTGCAAACTTTTTTCACTCGACGAAGTTGCTAATGTTTTCAAATTGGAAAGAAATTGTGCGTTTCGTTTAAGTTGATCAGCAGCTTCAGCGTTAAATGTTAGCGCAAGAAGAATTTCCAATGCTGGCAATCGAGCTTTCACGGGATCAAATTTTGATTCTGTTGAACAACGAAGAAGAAGTGGCAAAACATCTTGTTTGGTTAATTCCTCTTTGATTTGATCATGCTGTGTCAAGACTAAATAATAGCAAAAATCAATGTCTCGATTGAATAAATTTGTTGACTTACTTTTAAGACTACGAAGTAAATTATGGAAACGTGGCTTCATACTCGAATCGTCAATTAGACTCGTAAGAAATCGAAGAAAAATATTAGCAATTTTACTTGGATTTGCCAATGTTTTAATGTCGTCTTCTGTTAAAATAACAGCTAGAATCCGATAGACATTAAATTGCATTGTTTCATCTGCGAAATCTGTTAATTTTAATAATAATGGAATCATTCGTTTACTTTTAATATATGTTCGCAGATCATTTGTCATTGTTAACGAATACAAACTTTGTGTTAGAACTCTTTGCAAGGCAATTATTGAATCATTCAGCGTTCTACTTTCTATTGTTGAACTCAACATGGAAAATAATTGATCGATTAGTTTACAATAATCTTTACGAATTGGCTCAGGAAAAATATCATCTTCCCTAGCATTTCCGCCAATCAATGTAATACAAAGTTGGCCAATTATTTTAATTGCTGATTTGCTTAATTTTTGAGAACAAGTTATGTAATTTTGAAACCACGAAGTGAACATACTCAAGAGCGCAGTCCGAACAGCTACATGAGTCTGATTGTAAAAGCCAGCATCATGCCAAGAAATAACATCCGTACAAGTGTCGAGCAGAAATGTTTGTGCTTCGTCAAGTTTTTCGAGTCCACCGATCTTTTTAAACATATTAATAAAATAACTTGAACAAACGCATTTGACAATATTTTCCAATAGTCCAGCCACAATTGGAATATTTTGAATTTGTACTCGTCCTTTTTCTAAATAGTGAACTGCTCGAATACTGTAATCTATTGCTTCGATTGTCTTATCTTTCAAATGTTTGCCATTAGTGGCGATCTCACTCAAACATTTTCGAAGTTCATCAATCAATGGTTCATGAATTACGAGTTCCTTCAATGTGTCAACATTAGCCTCAGCTGTATTGCAGCACAGATCGGCAAATAGAAGAGCAATTTGCGGGAAAAGCTGGCCAGAATGTTCATCAAGATGCCCACTACGTCGCCATTGATATAGAAGATTGAAATAATAATCGCGAATAATAACAAATAATTGATGGTCAAAAACAGCGGCTTTGGAAAAGATTTGATCGCTTGTATAACGTAGCGAAATTGTATTTACAATCAGTTGGATGATTGCCGCATTATTTAATTCTTTGTTTTTCTTCAGTTCATCAGCAATTATGTCCAGCGATGTTTTCAATTGATCATTAGTTAGTAAATTGCTTGACTCTTTGATAAGAGAGCATTGCTGGTCTATACTAGTAGATCCGTGCTGTGTCATGAATAGATGGCTTTTCTGATTAGTAAAATAGAACGAATAGTTCTCATTACCAAGATACGCGACGACGATGCTGCTATTAAAATATTTGAAGAACGAAAAAATCAGACAGCAAAGGAGAGCGAACGAAAAAGTGTTGACTACAATTCAATTCTTTTGCTTAATCTAACGACCAAAAAAGCAGCGCTTTCGTTGCCTCACTTATGAAGTGCAAAAGTGACACAATCGACTTTCATTGTTTTACCAACAAACAGAAAGACGATGCACATGGTTGAAATCTCTTCTCGCTGTACTATTGGAAGCAGTTGATTTAATCAAATCAAAGCAGATTTTCAGTTACAAACATTTGTGACTTTTTCTCCTATTGAAGGATATATAATTTTAGTCTTATTGGGCGGTTACATCACTTTTTCTTTTAATTTAAAATGAAAATCTTGATAAATCTCTTTTCTGCAAATCATGTACAATTAAATTTTTGTTTAACGTGACATAACTTAGCAAAAATGATAACGCACAAACTGGTATCGCTTGAGCTGTAATTGCTCGTCGGCTTTCATACATATATTTGAAGCTTGAAATTATGACTTCATACGAAAATATATCGCCATTGGTTTGAACTTATATAATCTTTGTATTTTCATCGATTTGGTAAAATTTTCGGCGCATCATTTCTCTTGTCACGCCCTGTTTTTAAATAACAGTTCAGAAGTGTTTTGAAAGGCAATCATTTTCATTTCTAACGAAAAATGAGTAATCACGCAAAAGGAACATTTTTTCGATGTTGTGGAAGCCTACTTCTTTTTGTTCAAGGCTATATGCATATATGCCTATTAAAACAAAAATGTTCAGATTCACTGTAAAATTATCCGCAAAACATATCACATCACCTGTACAACATTAAATGTGTAACTGAAACAAATAATACAAAAACCATACCTTCAACAAGAACCTTTTGCTTAAACATAAGAAATCTTCCGCGTGCTGAACAATATTCTAGTGCGCCAAATGTTATACAATCTGTTCTTGTATCAATTAACTAAATTTCTGAAATAAACCCTTTAATACTTCTTTTCTTAAAGCATCGTTATATTTCCAAAGTAATTCATTTTATCCCTAAATAGAAAAAGAATATCCAAATTTCAATTTTAAGTTTTATGGCAAACCTTTTTTCAGAAATTGAAGCATTTTTTTCTTGAATTTTTGGTTGTTTAGCTTTTACTGCATCGTCATTATCGCTTGTCGAACTTCATTTTTTTTATCCCCTTAGGTTTTCGATTAGTATAGTTGTTGAACCAAATTATTTTTTCCATTCAATTTGATTTTCTTTATCACGATCATTAAAACCCTAAAATCTGCAAACGTTTCAGTAGAAACAGTCAATATGATACTAAAGAAATTTTCAATAAGAAAAATATTTGTTTTTACAATGCAAATAAAATTTGGTGAAATTTTTTCATGACACGTGACTTTATTTTAGATGAGAAAAAAAATCACATAATTTATTTTGGGTTTTCTACTAGGATTTTAATAAATTTTCATCGGGCAAATTCTTTATCACATGCTTCTTCTTTTTTGCGATAGAAGACTCAGATCGACATAAAACCACCGCTTTAATTGTGTTGCGCATGAAACATGATAGATATAAAATTTTAAATAAGTGGTCCATCTCATGTAACAGAATGTTTTACCGCCTTGAATTTTCGCGTAGATACCTCCTAGAGATATGATGCCACTTAGAAAATGTTTTCAAATCAAATCATACTTCCATTTCCGCCGGCATCAACACGCTCACCCTCAAAATCATACTTCGATTGTCTTGAATGATTGAAGGTGCAGAAGGACGTGTACGTGACAATTTGTTTTTATTCAGCCAAAAGATCTGATGACCCTTTTATGGTCCTTACAGTACACAGCCTTGAACTAGTCAATTCACGCTGTAAGCCTCCTGTGTGATATGTAGCTATTCAACGAATGAGAAGAAAATTGAGCCCAGTCATCTATTAAAATATATCAATTTCATTTTTAGACTAAATTCTTGTCATACTTTCATTCTTTTGAATATGTGAACCAAGTGGATCCAGTTCATATTGTGGTGGACGTCGAAGTTAAATTGTGCAAACGAACGGCGCGTGTTTATATTTTTGGAAAAATCTACCATGATTTTGTTGATCTTCAAACGGTATATCAGTATTCTCAATTTTTTTTTCAGAAATAAATTTAAATAATACACAATTATTTACAACAACAAAAAAATATTTTTGCTATTAATTAGCGACGCATAATCAGAAAAAATTGATAGTGAGAACCAGATATAGAGAAAACTCACATTTGCCTATGTCAGAGTGCATCTAAGTCTTAATTGTTCACTATTTCAGTAAAAATCGTTTTTCTTCTGGATGACACGACTTGTGATGATCATAATGCTGTATAATTATTTCAAATAATGAATAATAGCCACAATCGAGAGTATTCGTACAAAAAGTTCTCTAATCAGTTTGACAATAACAAAAACTGATTGTTGTTAGATTTATTTATTAATTAGAACCACACTGTGAGCCCACCGCCATCACCTTCAATTGGATAATAATAGGGTTCTTTATTAAGACATAGTGGGAGTAGTTAATGGCATAACTGTTTAATAAATTTTGCATGATCTTTAAATATAGTTTCGATATCATCATCATCTGATAAGTGGAATCTTTGTCGAAAGTAAAAGCCAAAGTCCCTGAACAATGATGTTGCCTTTGCGATTAGTTGACAATTTTTATCATCAATAGTTTTTGGTAGGTCATACATAGACACTCGTAACGAACTCAAGTGTGGCAATTTTGAAAGAATCTGTAAAATTACTGGCCGATTGGGTAGCATATAGTTAAGATAACTACGGAAAAGAATAATGTGCATAGATCAAATGCTGCGTTTCAACACGATTAAATAATGTCACATAAGGTAAAAAGTATAGATATGATTGGTCCATTGTCGTAGTATTGTGGGAAGGTACTTGAAATACTTGCATTTTAGTAATCAATTTCCTTGGAATATCTTCGTAAAAAAATCCATCAAATGTCCACGACTCTATAAATGTAAAAAGCACATTAACATATCGTCAGATGAAAATAAAATTATTGAGTAAAAAACAAAGACTTTCTTTTCTTCACATCGCATCTTGAAATAAAATGCGATCAAAAATATAATTTAACAGCAACTTACAAAAGGATCGCCATCAGTGAGCCATTCTGATCTGCCGGACCAGGTATTGAGGACAATGGATAAGATTAAAATCGAAATGAGCATCAACATGATGATGAATCAATACAATTTAAATCATTGGTATTAATAAATAGAGACACATTAGCACGTCGAAGAACAGGCATAACATTCGAAGATGTCAGCATTTCGAAAACTATCCATTCAATTGTTAACATTGAGAAGATTGTTTTAATTAACCATTCGAATCGATAGATCAGACATAGATACAGGACAATGCGTGTGGAAACGACTAACACCTAGTTTTATGTGTAGCTTCCGTAATGTATTGGAGAGTGATTTTGTCAACATAAGACGCAACAAAACATCCGTACTTGGTAAAGAGAGACGCAGATAAGTGAGAGGAACTATTGCGGTAGCAATGGACCAGCGTGTTCCGGAATAATTCATACCCAAGTCGAAAGATCGAAGTGCAGGAGAATGAATAAGAAGAACATTATCTATTAACCTCACCTTGTCGGCCTAGTGGACATAGGAATTTAATCGAAAAGCCATTTTAAGAACAACCGTACATAAATATCGATCCAATATGAATGAAGAATCGTACACTAACGACGGAATGCAACGGACTGTTCAATCGCCTTCGAGTCCAAACTATGCGTATCATCTAGCCCCTAAATACATAGTCACTGGTACAAATCTTCAGACTCTTGAAACAATTCTCACTCTATTATACATGATCGTGCAAAGATTTCCAATAGTATTAGCGTTGGAAATAAATGTGATCGGAATAGTTATTCAAACAAGATACCTGTCAGAGATAATCCTGCACATTTCACAATCAAAGTATGAAAATATATTAGAGCAAACTTTGTTCGTTTGAATGATTTGACTTTGCCATGATTGTATGTTCTTGCATTATCAATCATTTCTCTCATTTCAAAGTCCATACAGATATATTTCAGAATAAGATGATTTTTGATGAATGGATTGACTCTGTTTTCTTTTCCTCATAGGTCTCGACGAGGGAGGAGATGGGATGGGCTAGTCTCTCCCATTTTTTGCGTCGGGTCTGCGAAAATGTTAACTATCTGCCCAAAAACTGCCTACCAAACTCTAGCAAACAGCTTTTCCTCTGCCATTATCTGTCAGACAGTTCGCGACTGAGTGTCTCTCAAATTTTGGCACCTTCTACTCCTGAATCAAAAGTCAAATAACTCCATACGGTTGTCTCAAAAAGGTTGGTTTCATACCGTATATAAAGAACCTCTACTTTATATTTCAGCATATTAATACAATTATAAACTTTAATAATTTAGATACATGAACAATAGTTTTAGAGTTATTTTTAATCCAATGCATATTTAGATTGCATAACTTTTGAAAGCATTTGACTAGATTTTTATGTCAATTTCTTTTGCACAAAAATTATTTCATTTTTAGTTTTATATAAATTAACGAATGTATCTTTCCTTATTATTTCTAGTAGAATTTTATTCGACTCAAAGTTTGATCGGTGTAAAATTTTCAAATAATGAAAATAATTCATCCTTTATACAGGCGATATGCATGCGTGCTACTCTTCTTTTAGTATTACTGCAAAGAAAATTAACAACGGAACAATACTACGTTTTTTAATGGTTCCACTCCTATTCTTTAGTTTTACATATATTAAAAACAAATCGTTGATACCTACGGGTACGAGTGCTCCGTTTGATTTGATGATGATATGAGTGTCGCTGAATGAAGCAAAACAAAGAGTAAAAGATCATCATGACTGTATACACCAATAATACGTAGAGTTCTCAAACGAAGTAAATAAGGTCAACGAGTTAATTGAAGTGGAGATGCGTCACTATCAATTGCAAGTGATTGAATATAATTTAATGGAAGAAATTGAAGAATTGTATTAAATTGACGGTACCGTGCGAGTGATATATTAACATGATAAAGGAAACCTCGTTCAGATATTATCATTGTTAAACGATGATTAAGCCAAGTCAATCCCCAAATAATATCGTAAGATGGCAGATACGCACATAGCTCGATCAATACTAAATCCGGTAGATCGTCATAACATTTGATATAAACAATTATTTCTCCGTTTGTTTTGTATTTATATAATCTTGTCTACATTCGATGGCGGACGACGTTTTTTTTTCGTTCCTTCATATTAATCGTTCACCAAACAAATAATGACAACATGTGATGAATATTACTGTTGCCATGGAAACCGTTAGACATGAATGAATATTTCTTTTTTTTCTCGTTCTAATTCATCATACATACTTCATTTTCAGACGGTTGTTTAATAGTTTAATGAGAAGCTTATTCAATTACGACTAAGAAAAGCAAATGTCAAACTTAATATTCATTGCGATTATTAAGTAATATCTACTAGTTCTATTTGCAAAGCATCATCTTCGACATATGTCAATTTGTCGTGATAGAATGCGATATAAAATGATCGCAATCAGAAAAACAAAGTCTTCTCACAGAATCAGTTCGAAATCAAACCGTACAATTATTGTTTTTCTATTGCGTCTGATTTTAGTCTCTGATGTTCATTCTTTTAATGGGGGTCCAAAAGTTTCGAGTACTCGTTGTAAATTGACTCTATCTATATGAAACACAAAAATAGATGGTTAATTAATTACAATATACAGTTTATAGGGAATGATGAGAGCTGTGAGCTGAAAAAATAATTTAAATTTCGCCGAGATTATAAAAAGTTTCGATCGATTTATTAATCATGACTAATCATTTTGCGTGTTGCGTTTTCCGCAAAACAAAAATATTAAAGTCAAGTGATATGTTGTTTGCTACATACTTCTACTAAATATTTTTAGACGATTCGATAGAGTTCGACAAGCTCTATACGAATAGTGATATAAAAAACAACTTTTTATACCTGTTTTCAATGGAAAATTGAGGGGTGTTCAATGACTGAGGAATAGGAATTCGTCCTCGCCCCCTCTCCACAGCTCCGTGCTCGCTAAAATTGAAAAAAATGCATTATTCACGATATGTTTTGCTCGGACACTCATTTTCATCGAGAAATTTTGAACATGAATATGTGGACACAAAAACTATTTCAGAAAAAGATTCCCTTTGACTTTCATGCACGAGGGAACTAATCGCGAATTCTCTTTTCTCAGTTGGTGGACACTGCTGATCCATCTTTCAGACGCATGACCATGATAATTTTTTCTTACATTACCGCATCAATACATATTTATTTATATCAAAATTTGATCATACTTAGGTATAACATTAAAAAATTATTATTTTGCTAAAATTGAAAATAAATTCTTAAGGAAAAATTCAAAAACCTAATGGATGTACAGGAATAGTTGATTCTTTATCTACAATCTCTCGAGCTAGTTCAGTCATTAATCTTGTTCGTTCAATAAAAGCAGAACTTTGAATAAGATTAATATTATTATTAATTCTATCATAAGCTTCTTCACACCAAATTTGATGCTGTACATCAGTAGAATATACAGACGAAAGTTTTCCAGATTATAAACCATCGACATGTATGGGTATTTTCAAGCATCGCTTCAATGCTATTTTTCTGATATTCAAGTGTGAGACTTCATTCTGCGCCTGAGTGATTAGATATTTCGATCGACTACTGAAACGAAATTGATATTCAACTTGCAAAGCACAGCAACAAATATTAAAGAAGTCTTCTAAAACAGGTAGAATTCATTGCTATGATAATGTACGATTAAATATCTTGAGATAAAAATGAAACCGGCTCGAATTTTCGAATGAGCATTCTAGATTATTATCCAATAGAATCAACGAGGATAATCCTGTCAGGAGGATGCCTCATGAAGATCGATACTAATGCTATTATTGAATAGTATTGCACTGTCACTTCTTCGGTCGACACAATGAAGCGAAACCAAAACTATGTCGTATAACATATACCACGAACACGTCGTGCATATTGTAACAAAAACAATAGACTACTTTCACTAGTCCATTCATGGTAGTGCTGAGAAAATTGCACAGTAATCATGCTAGTACTTAAGCACTTTCCGCGCACGAGAGACGAATGCATTCGCCATTGAATGTTTACGTGAAAATAAATTTACTTCATTGAAAAATTTGAATTGATAGGATTTTCGGAAATCAAATCCGTGGACGGATAGGTCATGGTGCTCAGTCAATTAATTCTCCTGTATGCACATAAGCTATTTATATTTTATCAAAAGAAAGTTCACGACTCGTTTTTCTCGTTATGTTGATTTTATTTTTATCTGCCCTCCCTTCATTTCCTGATCCTATTGTTTCGTATATACGACCAATTGGCATGCGTGACTTTAACATAGAAATGCACATCTGTGTAAAGAACGATTGGATTACCACTATTCAAATCTCAAATTTCATGTTTAAATAGGTAACAGATCGATAATATCACTAAACTTAAACACATTCATATATTCTCTTATCTTCAATAGACGTAACAAAAAAAAAGCAAAAAGAACACCAAAGTCAATCATAAGATTGTCATCATCTACAACTGAATTAATGTGACAGTATGCACACATCATTGCATCATGCAAACAGGAGAACAAAAAAAAGAGATTCTTAAGTATCACTGTCAATCACAATTATAAAAGCAAAAAAAAAGGATCTACTTAATAAATCCATTCATTATACAATGTTAAGAAAATGCAAATATAATGAACAAACTCTCTTGATCGATAGAGACATTTCTTTCTTTTTTTATCCTTATCACCTTTTATTGTTTAATTAAGATGAAAAGTAAAACGATGATTTACGCTTAAATTGAGCCGGAATTCTTTACTTCAGACACAGTAAAAGGTGCCCCCCATAGCGATAATTGTCTACAACAATCACACCAGTCTCGGCAAGTTCTTTGACTAATTGTTCATCTTGATTTTTCTATATATTTTTTTTTCCAGAAAAAAAAGAAATAAGAAGAAAACACATCATGTAAAATGTCACTATCTGACTCATATATGGATAGATACTGTTCATTGATGCTTGAGAATAATAAAATGTGTACGTGCTATATTCTATGAGTCATATGATGGCCAAGGAGAAGTGCAAATAAGATGAGACTTATTGTGCATTGTACATTAGATGAAGAATCATTGTTCGATAACAATCGTTTCATGGCACCTAAAAATAGACAGACAGACATGACATATAAGCAGGTGTAATTTTATCTTAGTGCGCCGAAATACGTAATTATAATGAATTTGATAACAAAATCATGACCTTTTAAATACAATGTATCTTACTGTTATATTAAATGTTTGATTTAGAGAATTGTTCTCAATCGATATTTCTAGTTGCACTCTTTCATGCATTAAACCAACACCACGTTATTATGACAGGTCGAATGAATTGATGTGCGAGGAGAGAAGAGAAAAAAAGGATATACTCGATGATCAATGATGATTCCTTTGATAGGCAAAATTTCCGTAATAAAACAGCAGCAGAAAAAAGACAGGATATATCTGTCACGAAGGTCATTCTCTTTTGATTTATAAAACAAACTAGCGCTAAATAGACTGTAATCTTGGAGAAAAATATCTATACAACCAACAAACCTTTTTCTACAACAATTCTTGCGCTTCGTTTTTGTCGTTTATATGTACATGTCCATAATCCAGAATGATACGGCTGTGCATGACGAATAATTAATTGTGATTTGGAAATATTTTTTTCATGTTGATATTTTTCATGAATATCATAATCGTAATGATGATAATCATATGTGTAATTATAACTAGAAAAATGCCATGTTATTGATGATGTATTGACATTATAAATCATACAGTCTAATTCAACATTTGAGCCCGGTTCAACATATAGACGTGACGGTTTGATAGTCATTGGTATTTGTACATGAAGATGAATTTTAATCGCTACACTTTGACGACGATTTGATATTTTACATTCATAGATGCCTTCGTCGGGCAATTGAATATTATAGATTTCTAAATTCCAATAGGAATTGTCGGGTGATATAGAATAATACGAAACAGAATAGCGTTTGTCCGCTAGGAATACTTGTTCGCCAACAGTTATCGGTAAAAATGTGGAAGTATTTCGATCATATTTGAGCCATGTTACATGATGATTGCCTAAATTAGTAACATGACATGTTAGAATAGCTGAATCGGATAAATTTAGTGTTTGATTATGTGTTCGTGTTAATATTCGAGCGAAATCATTGGTATTAACAGCTGTTGTCAATCCATGAATGATAAACGTAAGTAGAAACGCTAAAGTATAGAAAATAAACATTCAATCAAATAGATAATGTTGATCCGGCTGGTCACATTTACTGCATTTCATACAATAGCTATAAAGATGACAAGGGTCAATTTTTGTGCAAAGCAAATATTCATGACATTTTCATTTATAACGGAAATTTTTATTTTTTGGTGAGAACAAAGAGCCAAATTAATTTCTAACGAAAGTGTGAAAATCGAAAATTCAATAAACTTACATGATATGAGAGATTGTCCTGTATTCATAATTAAATTAAATAACCATTATTTAATATTTAGCAAAATACTAGTCTTTTTTTTTTGCTGTTACTAATCGTTACATGTCGTTTGTCCTAGAATAAATGATGAATGAATGAATGAATGGATGTATACAGAGAGACAGAGACAGAAAGAAGAAAAAAGGATTATGACAAGCTGAGCAGCTTGCTCGTTCTCTCTTCTCTCGCTTGTTCAAGAATAAATAAACGTTTGGCTAATGGCATTACTCACTAAAAACAAAAAAAGAGAAAGATTACTCACTTTAGACTAAGCAGGTGCCGGTCCGTTTTTTATCATTTTTTCGATCATTATTAAAATTAAGAGAAATATTACAAAAAAAATGTTTCTTTCTTTTTTTATTTATTTATTTCTATAGAAAGATGATTGGCAAAAGTAAAAAGGAAATCAATTCTTTAGCTTGCATTTATTATTATAGATGATTGAGCAATCAATACTCGTTCGTTTTCCTCTTCTTTTATTCTGAATGCGATGATTGACCTTTTCAATTGCGTACACGCGCTTAGTTAAAGACCTTGTCTTGAGCAAAAATTTTTATCAGTCATTTCGATCTCTACATAAATCAAAATCGTTTCGTTGATGTTTTTCTTTTTTGACAATCAGCACATTTGGCATCGATCTTTTTGTTATTCTTTTTTATGTTCAATCTGGAATGCATTGATCATCATCATCATTGTCGACTAGGGGATGATGTTTTAACTTGAACAAGCTGTAGACGATGTGCCATCGAGCACAGTTTGAACATAATGCGATAAGTGAAACATCGAACGTACATGCCCTATCGGCGCAATATGCGATGATGATGGCGGCGGGCGGCGAGATGATATACATAAACCAAACATATATATACAACAGGCAATTTATTGTTGTTCAGAATAAATATTACATACATGTTGCATCAGGTTGGTTGTCTGTCTGACAAAAATTTATATTAGTTTAACCGACGCGTTGCCGGAAGATTTAAGAGTAGACAAAAGAAAAGCGAGCATTTATTTGATATTATTTATTTTGACTTTCGATAGATTAGTTTTTGAATCACTTGCTACGAAATGTATAGAAAAAGAAAAAGGATTCTCCTATTGAAGATACGTATGTTCAAATGTTGTTACGCAGTAGAAGAAAAAAACAATATTTTAACCCTTCTGGCGAGTCTAAAAATAAATTGTAATACTACCAAATATTGACTAATGTACATCAATATTTGATGACTTGAAATTTTCTATACTGAATTATTCTATTCACAAATAGCAGCCAAAATTCAATGAGAAGCTTTTCTTCTTAATATCACCGCCGAGAGATTATCCAAGGCTTTATGAAGTATCGAGCAGCATACGGCGAAGATTTTAGACTAACTTTCCCTCGTAGTAGAAGCCCCCGCTTGAAAATTTCACCGGAAAACCGCATTAGAAGATTCATGCCTCCGGAAAAATTTCATATGATACTCATTCGGGCGAGTTGAAAATCTTATTCTTACTGAATTTGAATCCGTTGAGAACTATTTTATTATGATCTCAAGCTGCGAATTTTCTAGAATTCAACGTACTGCATCCTCAAGCAAGTAGAAGATTTTTCGTTTATCCAAAAATGTCTTTTGAGTAGTTCTCAATAATAAAGCGAGCATCCCATCAGCATTATATTAAGAAACTGATCATGGACCGTACTCTTCTTTTTTTATTTGGAAAAGTTTAAAAAGATTACACTAATATACAAAACGGTTCTATTCGCTTAACCTACTCATTCCAAGATAGAGCCAAATATTATAACAAATAAAAACGAACAGAGAGAATACAGCATAGATTAATCGCTTAAACAAAAAAATGAATATTGGCAAGTTCGTTTTAATTAACCACTCCACATGGATCAGGATGATCGTCTAGAAATATAGATGCTATTTTTTTCTCTGATTTTCAAAAGAAAAGAAATAATACCATGAAGATAATACGGCTGTTGGTAATCAATTGATAAGTTCGTATTTTTATTAAATATCGTTACATGAAGATATTTTATTCCCTGTGTACGTGCAGGTGATTCGAATGATAGAATCTGTTCAGCAATCTGAAAGTCACTATCTTCAAGTTTTCTACCGTTGCACGTTACATGTAAATCTATACCGAATGGATATTAGAAATTATGATTAGAAACTTAAAAAAAAACATACTGCACTTTTCTACTACTGCGTTCAGTTGCACAAAAATCATTTGACCACCTCGTTCACAAAACTTATTCGGAAAAATACTATCAGTTTCAACTGATTGAGCACGATTGGCTATCATGAAAAAAAATTAAAATAGTATTCATAAAATAAATTTTCAATGGACATACTTTCTTCAATAAGATCTGAAAATGTTGCTGGAGAAACAGGTATGAATTGACCATCAGATAATTTAATATAAAAGGCAAACATTAATCTACACCATTTGAGTTTTTTCTCTTTGATTAATTTTTTCGTGACAGATTTACTTTGATATAAATTAATCATCTTAAAATTCCATCTGTAATAAATCGATATGATATTTAAAATAGTAAAACGTGCGAATATCCTCACTCTTTTTTAACTTCTTTTGGATTAATCTTGGAAAAAGTACCGTTTGTTGCGAAATCGAATTCATCATGATTCGATGAGTCATTGGGAACTACTATCGAACAATCTAAATCATTTAGTTTTCCATTATAGTCATCCTTGATGCGTGTATTAACAGGAACAACACGTTTTTGCTCATGTATATTTTTATCGTACGTGACTGCATGAGCTCCAAGATAAAATTCTTGCTTGTACTGTTTGATTTCTTCTGGAAGCTGAAATGATCAGATAAGAAAAAAAAATATTTAAAACATCTTAATTTACTTCGAATTGAAAAGAAGTGGCTTGCTTAGTTCCTTCGACTTGAACGGCTGGACAACCTCCATTTTCTAATTCTTTTAAATTACGTTGATGCCAAAATCGCGTTGGTTGATTAAGTAGATTTGGCTCAGGTAGCTTAATTTCTTCTTTGATATTACTTGTTGTGCTTGCCGACGAACTAGTACTGGTTAACGTTGTCGATTGAGATCTCGATGGAAATGATATTCTAGTACGAATTAAACTATTAGAAATAATATCTTGATTGTGATTGTTCAATGCTGTATAAATGAATACATTTTAGTATTATGCATAGCAAAACAATATATTTGTTGCTTACGCGTATTTTTGTCAAAAATAGAACTTTCAGAACTTTCTATTGAAGTCGACGTTTTTCCATTCGTTGTGCAACTTTTAGCTGCCATATCTGCAAGTTTCGAGAGAATTTGAAGCTGATGTTGAAGAGATCCAGTAGCCGCTACTGGAGACGAGAGATCGCCATCGTTAAGTTGATATTCTAACAAAAATAAAATAAAACTACTTTATAGCGGTTTACTATGCTTGTCACCTGCAGATTTGAATGGCAAATTTAAATTATCAAGTTGAGGTCCGATGATATTCGTGAGACTTTGCACGTTTCTAACAAGTAGATTACATAAATCTGAATTTTTTAATATCGGCTGACCGACATCATCTGAAAATACATAATCAATAATTGATTATGATTCTAACGCGAATGATTTTTCTTATGATACAGACCTTCGGTTTGACTCATGTTAGACGTTGAACTTTTTTCTTGATACATCAGTGGCACCTGTATTGTTGTGTTGGAATTATTTGGCCACTGGCAAACGCTCATCAAATCTTCGAATAATTTAAAAATATGTGTATCATTCACCGAGAAAATTGTACGATTTTTATTATTAATATTGTGCACATAAAAAGTATAAAACTCTCGAGTACTTTTATTAAATACAAGATATGCACGATGTTGATTTTTTTTAATAGTTGAGGTGTTTATATGGTGAAATGACTTTTGATTTCGATCGATGATACTAATATAAAAATTGAGACCAAATTTATTAGCAAATGTTTGCAAGTGATCTATTTCGTTGTCAAGAATTTTATCATTTAATAAAAATAATTTTGAATACTTCTTCCAGATAAGCACCAGAAGCATCACTTACTGCAGTAATTATTTCACTCATCATAATAAAATGCATGCAAACAAACAAAGTCGAAGGCCCACAAAAATCAGTTCTTAATATAACAGAAAAAAGAAGTTTGACATACTTAAAATAAAATAAAATTACCGTTCTGATTTCATGTGGCCTTCTTCGTCATGGACACTTGATTTTTCATCATCCATTGTTTCATTATCATCAATCACTGTATTTTCATCGTTTGATGCCATAATTTGCGTCGTTACTCTTGAATTTCGATTCTTCACTATGAACTATTGCAAGAGAATAGAGTATATGAGTAGCTAACGGCGCATGAATCAGTAAGATATACTTTGTAAATGATCCCATTGGACGAGTCAACGAGGTAGAGGAACTTACAATTCTATTCCAAAATTTGATCATCAGTTGTTCTAATTAGATTTCATTAATAAATTTGTTTGTTGATGGTAACACCGAAAAAAAGTTGAAGTCAAAGCAGGTGAACATAAGCGAGACTTAGAATATATCATTTGATCTTTAAAAGCTTCAACGATAAGTGTTCGCTTAAGAAATTTACTTATGCTCAGTATTTTACATGATTTGTGAATATTGCAAAAGATGGGAAAATGGCGACATAAATATGTTACTTTTCCAGCCCATCAAAATGAGACAGAAATAATGTCACTGAAAAAACGTTTTATTTTTCTTAAACAGATACGAAAGAACTTTAAAATAATTTTGTGGAACTCACATATATTTTCGAAGAAAATAGTGAGTGTAAGTTTAAGTGCAAGGTTTTTGCGGCTCCCCTGTACCTCCCTCTCCGTTATAGATATAAAACATGAAAAAAGTAATGCTTAGATGCGCTAATTAGAAATCATTATAATTAGGATTTAGTCTCTAATTAATCTTAAAAAACTATTTTATTATAAAGAAATAAAGGTAGATATTAATTCTAATTAAATATCAGTACCGCAAGACAATTCATTAAAAAAAATTGTGTTTCGATTTCAGCAGATGAAATAAGAAGAAAAGTAAAACAATGTTTAACTATCAAATGTCTTCATACTTTATTTCAAGATGAAAAATATAAACATGAGAAATTTATTATATATAATATGTTATATAGACAACGTCAAAAATAATTATTTGTATTTTTTTAATTTAAAAAATATCTTGAAAATCATTCATAGGTTATTTAAATGGGAGAAATTCTACCCTCTCATCTATTCAGATATTTTTCTGAATGGCCAATATATGTTTTTAATGTTACATATAAAATCTTACTTTTGAAATTGAATTGTACCGTTGTTATATAATACGAACTATAAACTGTTTGAAATTTTTATCTTTAGTTAGATGTAAAACATCTGAAAACTAATGATTGATATCATAATTTATTATTATAATAAAAACTAATCAATAATTGGCCCTGGAATTATTGAGAGTTAATATTTGCAATGTCAATTTTATTGAAGCTATTTAGATATCATAGATTATATTTGCTGCCCCTATTATAAAAAATATTATGAAACTCATTCTATTAAAACAAATAAAATCCTCTATTGCGTCGGCATCTATCTAAATGATCCATAATGTGTGAGTTCCACATTTTTCGCCCCAACCAGGTTGCGCTGAGAAGGCTTCTTGTTTATTTTCAACTTTTACTGTATGTGAAATGGATTGATTGATGATTAATAATAAAACGAGCATCCCATCAGCATTATATTAAGAAACTGATCATGGACCGTACTCTTCTTTTTTTATTTGGAAAAGTTTAAAAAGATAACACTAATATACAAAACGGTTCTATTCGCTTAACCTACTCATTCCAAGATAGAGCCAAATATTATAACAAATAAAAACGAACAGAGAGAATACAGCATAGATTAATCGCTTAAACAAAAAAATGAATATTGGCAAGTTCGTTTTAATTAACCACTCCACATGGATCAGGATGATCGTCTAGAAATATAGATGCTATTTTTTTCTCTGATTTTCAAAAGAAAAGAAATAATACCATGAAGATAATACGGCTGTTGGTAATCAATTGATAAGTTCGTATTTTTATTAAATATCGTTACATGAAGATATTTTATTCCCTGTGTACGTGCAGGTGATTCGAATGATAGAATCTGTTCAGCAATCTGAAAGTCACTATCTTCAAGTTTTCTACCGTTGCACGTTACATGTAAATCTATACCGAATGGATATTAGAAATTATGATTAGAAACTTAAAAAAAAACATACTGCACTTTTCTACTACTGCGTTCAGTTGCACAAAAATCATTTGACCACCTCGTTCACAAAACTTATTCGGAAAAATACTATCAGTTTCAACTGATTGAGCACGATTGGCTATCATGAAAAAAAATTAAAATAGTATTCATAAAATAAATTTTCAATGGACATACTTTCTTCAATAAGATCTGAAAATGTTGCTGGAGAAACAGGTATGAATTGACCATCAGATAATTTAATATAAAAGGCAAACATTAATCTACACCATTTGAGTTTTTTNCTCGTTCACAAAACTTATTCGGAAAAATACTATCAGTTTCAACTGATTGAGCACGATTGGCTATCATGAAAAAAAATTAAAATAGTATTCATAAAATAAATTTTCAATGGACATACTTTCTTCAATAAGATCTGAAAATGTTGCTGGAGAAACAGGTATGAATTGACCATCAGATAATTTAATATAAAAGGCAAACATTAATCTACACCATTTGAGTTTTTTATTTTCAATTAAATCTTTGTTAATAGTTTCACCCTGATATAAATTAACCATCTTAAAATTGCATCTACAATAAATAGATCCGATATCAAAGACAATATGAAAAAAATACGAATTTCTCACTTTTTTTGAAGGTTTTTTGGATTAATTTTTAAAAAGGCACCTTTTGTCGTAAAATCGAATTCATCGTAAGGATTTTTGTTATCAACGATTATGAACTCATTCAGATCATTTGTCTTCAAGTTGATGTTTTTTGCGACTGATGTATTCATAGGAACAACAAATCTTTGATCATGTTCTTCCTTGTCATATGTTACCGCATGAACACCAAGGTAAACTTCTTCTTCAAGTGTCTTTATATCGTCTCCAAACTAGAATAATCACATAGGAAATAATTTAAAAATTATCGTGAATTTACTTTCAGTAGTAATTCAGCGCGCTGCCCACAACCCTCAACGGGAACTGCTGGACAGCGTTTGTCACGCAATTCTTTTAAATTACGTTGATGCCAAAATCGCGTTGGTTGATTAACTAATACAGGTTTAGAGAGTTGAATTGTTTCTGTTAAATTAGTTGTTGTATTTGAAAATGTTGTTGGTGTTGAACTCCATGGTAAAGATGGTTTAATATGAATTGGAGAATTACGGAAAATATCTTGTTTATGAAGGTTCGAAGCTTTTTAAATAAATAAAAATAAATATTCGTATGATCAATGGAAATAAAAATTGAATGATTACTTACAATCATCTTGCTCAACCAAAGTAGTATCAGAACTTTCTACGGAAGTCGATCCTCTTCGACTTGTATAGAAACTTTCAGCTGTGTCATGCGCAATATTCGAAAACCGTTCCAATTGAATTCGAAGTGCTTTAAAAGCGGATTCAGGAGACACAAAGTCACGATCATGTAGTTGATATTCTAAAGAAAATAAATTATTCTTTATTTTATTTCGTTAGATTTCGTACCTGAGGATTTAAATAAAATATTTGAACTACTATTTTGAGAATCAATATAACTGGCAAGACTTTTAATATTTTGAACCAGTAAGTTACAGACACTTGGGACGTCCAGCGTCGTTTCCAACTGATTTCCAGGATAAACTGAAAATAAATAGTCAACAATAAGTTGTAACAATCGCACATTAAATGATATTGGAGTATCACACAGACCTTTTGCGGCATTCATGTGAAAAGTTGTACTGCTTTCTTGATCGGACATTGATATATCTTCACACGACATATTTTGCACTGTGTTTATCTGGCAACATGGCCAGTTATAAATTTCCACTGAATCTTGAAATAATTTAAAAATATGTGTATCATTCACCGGGAAAATTGTTTGAATTTTATTATTTTTATTACTATCACGTTTATAGAATGGATAAAAACTTCGATTATTTTTGTCGAATACGAGATAAGCACGGGGCCAGCTTTGGTTGTTTGGTATTGAAGTAGCATCTATATTGTAAAATTTTTTTTCATTTTGATTTATAATACAAAGATCCAAATTAAAAAGGCATTTTATAGCCAATTCTTGTAATTTATCAATTTCATCACCAATCTCTGCATTGCTTGTTGAAAGAAAATCTATTACACTATCCAGATTAACATTAATGGGTTGATTAGTATCTGCATTTATGTGACTCAAAATAATGAAATAAACGCAAACCAAGAAATTCATCGGACCAGCCAAACCTGACCTATTCATATTTTAGGAAATAAAATAAGTTCAGGAAATCTAATATAAAATGCTTACAATTCTAAATTTTCTTGACCTTCTTCTTCGGGGATACTTGATTTTTCATCATCCATTGTTCCATTATCATCAATCACTGTATTTTCATTATTTGATGCCATAAGTTTCGTCGTTATTTTTGAATTTCGATTTTTCACAATCAGCTATTGCAAGAGAATAGAGTATGAGTAGCTAATGACGCGTGAACCAGTAAGATATACTTTGTAAATGATCCCATTGGACGAGTCAACGAGGTAGGGGAACTTACAATTCTATTCCAAAATTTGATCATCAGTTGTTCTAATTAGATTTCATTAATAAATTTGTTTGCTGATGATAACACTGAAAAAAACCGTTGAAGTCAAAGCAGGTGAACGTAAGCGAGACTTAGAATATATCATTTGATCTTTAAAAGCTTCAACGATAAGTGTTCGCTTAAATAATTTACTTCTACTCAGTGTTTTACATGATTTGTGAATATTGCAAAAGATGGGAAAATGGCGACATAAATATGTTACTTTTCCAGCCCATCAAAATGAGACAGAAATAATATTAATGAACAAAACGTTTTATTCACTCACACTAATTTATTACAACAAAATGCATACTATTGAATTAAATCCAGTTCAATTTCTTTCTATTGATTAAACATGGATTGTTGTTAAAAGCTATCGGATATATGTTGAACGTTGAAAAAGTACTCAGGCTAATTTTCAATTCACAGCAAAAAAAGAAGCGCTCATGTATCTCAAGTCTTCACATATTGAACAATTTTTATAGTAAATTTAAAATCTTTGAACTATTCCATATGGCATAGAGTTAGTACATAGTAACAAAAATTCTGTGAATGTCCATGTTTGTATTACTTTAATATCAACGACATGTTCCAATCGTTGCCCATTAAATATCTGTCAATATTACGAAATCATTTAATAATCTTCATAAAAATAATTAAATAAGTTACAACAAAAATCTCAATATAGCATGGTTTTAAAACGTTCATTATTTTGTCTTTGATTTTCCCCTTTTAGTGGTAAAAAAATCACGGCGAAATATATTGTTCATTGAATTCTGCTCTTGATCTAGATGTTAGAGTAAATTTAAACAATGTTCCAACAAGTAGACAGCAATGCAATTCTTTATCGAAAGTGATGGATAAGAATATTCGATTTCAGTTAATTAATTCTTTCAATTACGTTTCCTAGGTGTAGACTTAAATAAAACGCAAAAAACAAATTTACGAACGTTGATCTTCGATCAAGCATCATTTCTAGTTACACTTTAAACACTGTACTCCAAATCATGTCTATTCGATATTTCAATCAGAAATAATTTTTTTTAAATATTTTTTTATTGAATAAATATTATCATAGATAATACAACAATAGATATTATTATTATTATTCAAAAACATCATCAATAACATATAACATATATATATATATATGTTATTGAATAGAATAGAAAATAAAGTGTGGAAATTTTGTGTTGTGTTTCTATGTCGTGATAATGCTCACAAATGTACTTGAGAAAGTGTCAAATCTTAGCGATCGTTTGATTTACATACTTCAGTCAAATAACTGGTTCCGATAGATTTTTATTGTTCATCGTACATCCTCATTAAGGTTTTAGAAAACAACAAAAAATTGCAGAATAACAAAAATATAACAACAAAGCAAAAACAAATAACTAAATTAATAATCCTTGTCACGCGAATCAAATATACGTTTCCCACTTTGAATCAAAGCTCCCGTTGTTGTTACGTGTAATGCTGGTTCATCTGTTGGATCAAATACTCTTTTTAAGTTAAATTTCATTAGTTCTTCATTAAGTACAATTGTTTCTCGTAGTTCTTTGATCGATATTTTGAGGGAGAGCTGATCTTTTACATCTGAAATTAAAAAATATTTGTATAAAATATAAATTAATACAAAATTTAACTTTGTCGTAGAAAACGAACTGTATACATTTAATGATGCTTACTTGTATAGGTAATTTCTTGAAATAATTTCTTGAGATAATCCGATGGAATAATACGATAGCCTTTATTGAATTTTATGACAACTTCATCAATCTAAATATATAAAACAATTAGTGTGATATTTTCTAACAATATACTATGTTTAACCATAAATTTTGGAAGTTCAGGACCGTAATGTTGAATACGAAATCCAAAAAGTAGAAATTCAATTGCTTCACCAGCTTCTTCCATTAACACTCCTATACAAAATAAAACCAAATTGAGTTAAAAACTTGATAGAATCAAAAAAAATAGAAGTTCACCTTTCGGTGCTGCTAAATCATGATCCATATTGCAGGCAAAATGATGAAACGACCAATGCCCAAGTTCATGTATTATTGTAAATAATATGAGTGCACCGTATTTAATAACATCATTTGGATGATCACTTGCTTTGGAACGTTCAACTAACTAAAAGTAAATTCTTTAAATGAATAAAAATGATCAAATTAACACTTTTTTTTACTTCTTTATTTAAATATATAAGATTTATGTCTGATTCTTTTTGTCGACCTAAATAATTTCCATAAGCAGCACAGGATACAGGTGTAATAATAAGTTCATTTTATTGAAGAATAACTGATGGAATAGTTGATTGAGTAAAAGCGCCTCTAATTTGATTTATGATGGTTTCAGGAACATTATTCTAAAAGCAGAAAAGTTTTCTTCGTTCGATATCATTTCATGGGACTCACCGGTAATATACCAGTGTATTCATAAAATGGAACAAAATGTGCACAGAAATTAGTTAACAGATAATCATTTGTTAAAATTTTTGATAATGCACACAAGGCAATATTTAAAGCCGGATATGTTTCAATTAATATTTCATTGAGACCAAAAGTTAATTCATATCTTGGTTAATCACACCACGATACAGTACATTTACTAAACATGTTCGGTTATATTCTCATTAATCAATGTAGTATGTAGCATGGGAGCCACGAACAGTGTTTCTAATAGAAATCTGAAATAAAATGTTTTTGAACATTTTGTTTATGTGAAAAATGTGTATCTTCACTGTGACGAACATAGAGAGTGTCGCCTATGCCCGTCGGCATGATGGTGTATTGTGTCATCTGCACATCTCTAGTCGTGCATTTCCTTTAGTTGC